ACGACGTAAAAGGCTTCAGAACAAGGCAGCCACAAGCAGTTCGCCACAATCCGTAGCACCTTATTCATGCAAGGAAGGCTGTATTACGACACCCGATGGCTGCAGTGTTTGCACCAAAGTTGTTTCGGTAGTCGATGAGGCATTTGCATGCAACCTATGTCAACGATGGGCGCATTGCCACTGCGACACCAAAGTCCCCCGACAATACTATAAGCTGATGAAGAGACAACCATGCAAGTGGTTCTGGTACATCTGTCCAGAGTGCAGGAAAATGCCCGCACTCCGCACAGAAAGCCTGAAGGAGATGCTCTCCGCCACGCAAAAGCTACCAGCACCCTCGAATAAAGTAGGGTTAACACCAAAGATAACACAGAGAGACCTGGAAACAGACCTAGAGCTCCAGCTGTGGGCACGCCACCTCGCGTGGGGACCATATTAGGTCAAGTCTCCATACCTCCTACCCGGCCCCAGGGGACGTCAAGCGCATGGCCAAAGACATCGACCGCTGAAGCCTCTACGAAACCCATTCCAAACACCCCACACACCGTGACTGAGAAACAACCAGTGGAATTACTCAAACCCATTGGGAAGTCGGGCGTGCCACCCACAACGAACCCAGGTCACAGGAGGACCAACTCGATCATTTTGTTCAACGTCGATGTATCGACAGACTCATTGTTGGTCGAGAGGGAACGGTTTGACAGCCGAATGTGGACCGACTACTGTCAGATGCTGGGACTCCCTCCCCTCCCTGCAACTTTATGTCGCCTTTCTCGAGGAAGCCGTGCACCCCGAGATAAGCCACCCCCTTTACGTGTGTCCCTAAATACCCCAAAGAGGCTGAAGACACACTCCTCCTCTCGCGACAACCGGACGTTGTTAATGCCTGTAAAATTCGGGCCAGGCCTGACAAGCCATGGTCAATAAGAGAGGAGGAGAGAAAGTCAGCGGTTGGAAATCCCAACAGAAACAACACTATAGTTGTACATGGGATTCCAGAATTGCCAAGTGACCGCTCGGTCAAAGATCGGTACTTTCACGACGTCCAACAATGGCAATGGCTCTCAACCAAAGTTGGTCTCAACAGTATACCGGCCAACAGCGTCAGTAGACTGCCAAGGCCAGCGCACCTGAAGACCATACCCAATCCCAGACTACTCGCCGTCCAGTTCGACTCATATGCCTCCCTCACAGACGTTCTACAGGCATGGTATAATGCGAAGGATCGCATGGGTGGCTCAATACGTATATGTGAAAGTAAGCCTAGACCCACAAGGCAAGAGGAGAGACGACAACCACCAAGACCTCTGGAGTCAGTGGTCGTCACACAGGCGCTGACCAGTGAGTTAGATACATCAAGTAAAGAAGCCACCACTGCCACAGCCCCCACCCAAGTTAATAACAAAACACCAAAAAACGGAACAATGCCAGTCCTATGAGGACTGGCGAGGGTAGACCCAACCACATAAGCGCTCATCCTGCGAAAATACACAACCAGACCTCCCCCTCACCAGGCACACTCTAATATGTATGTACAGCAACGTTAGGGGGCTAAGAGGGAAGGTAGCAGAAATGAGGACGCTGCGTGCACATCAGCACTCCGACATCATATTCATCACCGAATCCTGGCTCTCGCCAGACATCTCCGACGAAGAGATGCATGTTACTGGCATGGAACTCTTCCGCAGGGACAGGGAACATAGAGCAGGAGGGGAGTGGCTATCTACGTAAACTCTGTTTAAAGGCAAGGATGGTTAGCGATACGGCCTTAACCCAGCTCCCAGAGTCCCTATGGTGCTACTTCACTCTCCACAGTACCAAATACATGCTCGGAGTCATATATCGGTCCCCCACCAGCTCCCCTACACATAAGGAAATGATCATCAAGGCTATCTTAACGACTTCCTCTGCAAATTACGATTCCGTAGTCATTGCCGGCGACTTCAACACCCCGTCCATCCTCTTCGAGACGGAAGGGAGACGCATCAGATCCTTCAATCAGAAGCTGAAGGATGCAATTAAGACTGCTGGCCTCTCAGAGAAAGTGGGTGATGCTACACGCTGGGGACCTAACGGAAACGCATCGCGCCTTGACTACGTTCTGACGAACGATGAACTTCTCATTGAGGATGTTTGCATCCAACCTCCCCTTGGCCTCAGTGACCACGCTGTAATCACCTTCTCCATGATAACTAGGGAGGCTCTGCAACTGGAGACGCCCAACACCTTCCCTTGCTACAGCAAGGCCAACTATGAGACCATGAGGGACTACCTCATGAATGCATCATGGCCAGTGGACTGGACTCATCTCACAATAGATGAACACTGGTTGGAGGTGAAGAAAATAATCACTGGGGCCATCAGTCACAGTGTACCAGAAGTAACACACAGACAATCAATGAGAACCTCATGGTTAAAGCGTGGGACAGAGAGGCTTATCCGGAGCAAGAAGCAGGCTTGGTTCAAGTGGCGTACATCACGCAGGGAGTCTGACTTCTTGAACTACAAAAGGATTCGCAATCTCTGTAACATTAGAGTGCGTAACGACAGATTTTCCTACCAAACAAACTTGGCAGCGAGGTTACAAAGCAACCCCAAAAACCTGTACCGCTTCATGTCAAGAAGAAAGTCGACCAGTAAGGGAGTGAATCTTGTCACAGGCCATGACGGGAGTGTGCTAAGCAGTCTAGAGATTGCCGAGCTTTTGAGCTCACACTTCCAAGCCCAACTCAGCACTGACACAAGATCCACACCGACTCGCCACGACACCGACCAGGTCGCAAATAACGAATACCTCTGTCACGTCTCTATTACAGAGAAAAAGGTGTTCGAGAAGCTATCTAGGCTACGTCCGGGCAAGTCCCCTGGCTGCGATAACCTGAAACCAGTGGTTCTGAAAAACTGCGCCGAGGTGCTTACCAAACCACTTCGCAACCTCTTTGAGCACTCAATAGACTCGTGCAAACTCCCTAAAGAATGGAAGAGTGCCATCTTGTCACCCATCTTCAAGGGAGGAGACAGAAAAAGCCCTGGCAGCTACAGGCCGATTGCCCTACTCCCTATTGTGTCGAAAGTGTTGGAAAGCCTGGTAGCTGACACCATCTGGGAATTCCTCAATAGGAAAACACTGTCCACACTGCTCAGCACGGCTTTCGTAGTGGTCGCTCATGTGCCACCAACTAACTGCCTGGGACGACTGGACACAAAGCTGGGATAATAGAAAACCTGTACATGTTGTATTTCTCGACCTAGCCAAAGCATTTGACAGTGTCCCACCCACAGTACTGCTTCACAAGATCATGTCAGCTGGTATAAGTGGACCCCTACTCTCTTGGTTCAAGGAGTACCTGGAAGGGAGGCAGTTCTGCACTAAAGTGAACAGAATAAGGTCGGAGTGGAGACCGTCGACGTCAGGAGTATCCCAAGGAGCAATCCTAGGACCGCTTCTGTTCCTCCTGTTTGTCAACGATCTGCCAGACAAAATATCCTCACCCATCCTCCTCTTCGCTGACGACATAAAAATTTGGAGGGTGGTAAACGAAGAAGCTGATTGTGCAGCACTACAAAAGGACTTGCAGCAACTCGAGCTCTGGTCGTCGGAAAATGGCCTGAGCTTCAACCTGGAAAAGTGCAAAGTAATGCACATCAGTAAAAATGAGGCAAGTACGACCGACTTCCAGTACATGTTGAGCAACCGTGCTATCACCAGAGTGTCCATGGAGAAAGATTTGGGGCTCAACTTCTCCGACACCTTGGACACCAGCTCCAACTACAAAGGTATGACAACCAGAGCGAACGCCATTCTACACTTTCTGCGTAGACAGCTTGGCGCCCTCACTCCCGAACTCTTCCTCACCATTTTCAAATCCTACGTGCGGCCGCACCTAGAGGTCTTCAATACGGTGGCTCCTCCAACACTCAAGAGAGACTCTAATCTCCTTGAAAGAATACAAAGAACTGCAACAAAATCAGTTGTGGGGCTAAGGGGAAAGACGTATCCTGAAAGACTTAAACACCTCAACCTATTTACCTTGGGTTATCGCAGGAAAAGGGGTGACCTCATTATGGCATACAAGATCGCCCATCAGGCAGACCATGCAAACAAATCAATTTTGCCTGCAACTGAACGATCTTCACGAGGAAACCCCATTAAGATAGCACACCAGAGAGCCAACACCACACTCAGGTCCAAATTTTTCTCCCTAAGAGTATGTGCTTTATGGAATGCCTTACCGCGACACATCGTTATAGCTCCTTCAGTCGACTCTTTCAAGAGGCGATTAGACAGTTATGTCACCTCGCATGGACTACCACGGACGTACTCAGGTAGTCACCAACCTCAGTACCCCCAACTCCCTCCTAACTACCACTCACTATCTCTCTCCTTAATACACCCACATTACCTACTAATTCTTCTGTAGGAACCAAACCCACGCGACCATTCGGGCAATTCCCAAATACTTTTCTTTCGTTCTCATTTCTCTTTTCACCCCTCCTTTTCTTCTCCTTCCCTTTTCTCTTCCCTATATTATTATTTTTTTCTCTCTTTTTTTTTTTTTTTCTTTATTCTCTCTTCATTCCTTTACCACTACCTTACTATTCTCTTTCAGGTACCTACACAGACAGGAGTCACGGCAGTTCTCTAAACTTCCCAGCAACCCGTAGCTCCCTAATCACTCTACAAATTACAACCTACTAACCCACAAAACATCCACCTCACCGAAGCTAAAAGCAAGAAAGCAGAGGGATTTCCTCGTCCACTGCAGGAGTGAACCGAACAACTCGAACCAAGCCCTAAGAACTAGACGCGAGAGATCAAAAACTACCAGTTTTCTACGCTCGCACTATCAATATTGGATATTGGATATTGGAGTGGGTAGACCTATTGTATCGGAATCCACCAAAGACCTGGGACCGTTACTCAAGACCTAGAAGCGAGCGCGAAGAAATCAGTTGGTTTAAACTAGCCCGTAAAAGTCTATTGGATATTGAATGTTAGGATGAATGTTTGTGCCTTTATTAAATCAAATGCGTTACAATTGTGCATGGATAAGATTACTATTACCCAAGTAGGCATTGTTTTAATTATTTCCTCCTGCAATATTATGGTTATAGCCTAGAAACCTACTTTAGCTACCTAGTGGTATTATTCAACTAAGCATTGCTCTTCAACACCAACAGGAGTTTTTGAATAGCCATATTTCTACTCGAGATGAAATTCAGTTCACAAACAAATTGAACTAGTGCTCATTTTAAATACTGAACCACTGCCATCTGCGACACATATTTCGATAAAATCCATTTTGCTGACCAGAACACATGACCAGCGAAGACCTGGAAGCGTTCTGCAAAACCCAGAACCGAGCGCAATGAAATCAATTGATTTACAGTACCTCGTTAGAAGATATTGGGTATTGAGCCAGTGTCCAGTCCAGGAGTTTGCTGTCTGTCCTGAAACCTGATGTGGTACTTACGAAAGCTATAGCCTTTGAATATATAGATAGTTGTAGAGAGAATGAGGCGGACTCACTCCATTAATCATATGAGGCCAGATGAATAACCACACTCGAATTCTATATATGTCTTAAAGACACCATAATTCCATGGCTCAACATTCCAGAATTACAGTATATAAGGCCCATTGTCAGATTTGCTGTATGGTTCGGACGTTGGAAGGTCTGTGTAGTTGACAGCGTAGTCTCAGAAGATGGAATGGTATTTTGTTGACTTTGGCCATTCGCTTCGGCTTCAGGATGGTGAATTAAGCGTATTGTAAGGAGCTTTATGTTTGCATTACGAAGTAAAACCAAGGAAGGCAGGCTATAGTTATCTGGGTTTTGTGTACTCCTAAAAACATCATGTTGGTTGGTGCTTCCCTTTTGCTTATTTCTTGGGATATGTTCCTCCAAGATACCTGGAGGTGACAATAAACTAGTTTCATCTGACGTCTAGCCCAAATGGCATCTGCTCGTTGCCTATCATACAGTTCTTTCTTTGAATTTTGAAATTTACCTTTGTTTATTTTGAGAATCCCGTTGGGTAGTCTATTATTCTGGCACAGGAAGGCCTCAGGGTGAGACTTCAGTATGCTACTTTTGGAGACGGTCTTTTTCAACCTGAGAGGACTGTACAATTGTTTGGTATTAGTGTAGGACCTGGTAGTACACACTCGTGACCCTTCCAGAGACCGAACCCAGGACTTTCACTTCTCGTCGTGGGCACGTCACCATCCAACTTCTCTATTAAAATCCAGTGGTGATCTATAAGGTCGACTAAGTCAGCTGTGAGGACAAACTCTCTGATACTGTAAGGTTGATTTGAAAGGTCATCCTGACTCACCTTCCCAACGGGAAGGGGTGGGTTAGTAAATGTTGGCCCCAAAAATGAGACCCCACCCTATCGCAGCATAACAATGCTTACAATAGTGATTCATGGTCGGATTCAAAAAAAACAAGTTAAAACCTTAAAATCTCTAAAGGCCGTGTGTGATCGGCCTCAAGCAAGTATCCAATGGGCTTTATGGTCACACTCGTCTTCTTCTGATACTTCAAGAAGAAATAGCCGTTCATGTTGTGAGCAGTCAGGAAGTGTCAACCGCCCTCACAATTCCAGTTGCATACAAGACCCATTCAAACATAACCTATTCCCCTCAACCCTGTCTCCTCCTTTGCCTACACTTTCCGATTCTACTATTAAGCCTCTTACGCCTTACCCAATACTTCACTCTGCAACCATTGCCAACGAAAAAGCCATCGAAACCTCTTTCTAAGTCTCCTAAGACCCCGCCATCGATTTCATGTAGGACCTTTCAACGTCCGAATTTTATACCAAATCAGGCAACAAGCATCACTCACCAAAACTCTGGAGTCTCCAGCCATGGATGTATGCTGTGTCTCTGAAACACGTAAGCAGGACCCTAGTGCGGTTATTAAATTGACTTTACCTGGCCTATTAATAGATCTTCAAAATTATATTTAAGAGTATACGGGGACCCAGTGATTAGCCCTGATGTACTTACTAGTGCAGCCACAGCATTAAGCTGTAGAGCAGAAAGTGCGTCCCTCGACTGGATACCAGTAAACAGTCGTCTATGTGCTGCTCGACTGAATGGATCTGTAGGAACTACGAAAAATCGTGAGACTAGCCAGTGCTCGTTCGTAATCTCCGCCCATGCACCTGCTGATTGCTATTCGGATGATGCAGAAGATGAAACCTATCAAAAACTGTCAATTTTGCTACAGAAAGTATAACGTTCACTTGTAGTCATAATGGCAGGTAACTTAAACGCTCGAGTAGGGAGGCAGGCAATCGGAAAGGGACCTTAAAGGTATAATTGGATGCCGTGACAACGAACCAACAACGGTGATCGTCTCTTGCAATTTTGTTCCGACAATCACTTGTATCTGGCCAAGACTAACTCAAGGCATACAGCAACGTACTGTCTCACACGGTGTCCATCAACATCAAACCAACAATGGACACAGATAGATCACATTGCTATAAACCGTCTTTGGAGAGGATCCGTGGAGGACTGCCGCTCTTTCTGCAGTGTCTGTTTTGACTCTGGTCACGCACTAGTATAAGATCATGTATGTCTGCGTCTTACTGGCCACAGGAAACTGGTGGTAGTGAAGCCTGTGTATTCTCAATTAGAAGATGAGAACGCCGAGCACGCGTTTAGAGACGAGTTAGCTAAGCATTTATCTGAACGTGACACCAATCCTCATCCTCAAGAAACCTGGGGTGAAATTAAGTCTACTGAGGAAAAAGCGGTAAAAACGGTTGGTAACTTACACCCGGAGGTTAGCGAACGTCATGCGATTCCCGCGACGTCATCCGAACAGACTGAGGCCAGAAAATTAGTTCCAGCTGGTTCCGACCACGATGAAGAGCGAAAGAAACAAATATAAGTTTACCACTATTCTTCACAATGATCACGAGTAATGGTGCATGACGAAAACGACAGAGGTATAAAAAGCGTAGGCGTTAGGTAACACCCAGCAAATACTTAGGCTTATTAGGGATAACGGCAAAAAGAAATCAACGGGTAGTGAAACCGTTATTGAGAAAGATGGGTAGAAATTTTGAAGCTAAGTCCAACTGACCGACAACAAGGTTTCTAATAAAGGTTAGCGCAAACATTCAAGTTTCAGAAAACGTCATTATGACAGATTTTCAAGCCATTTCACCAAGAGTCCTCAACCACTGATTCCTATCGTCTCAGTGACCCAAAGCAGGTAGTCTAGACCTCTGTACATGGTTCCGACCAACAGTCGAGGACTTCGTAGACTGGTACCACGTCCTGATCTGGCCACTCTGATGAACCCTCTTTCAACCTAATCGAACTTCACCCGGCATTGCACATCATGGTAGGCGGCATCTCGGCATGCTCATTACATGTCAAAGCAACCTTGGCTATTGAAACAATCACTGGAAAGGATGGGAAGCTGATAACCTTACGGGACAGGCAGCTAGAACGTTGGACAGAAAACTTGGAAACACGGTTCAGGTGGCCCTCAGCAGCGCCTCAGTTGCCCAACATTCAGCCTGAACCCCGATGGGACATAGATGTCGGTCGTTCAACTCTTCTCGAAGTTGAGAAAGCTGTATCGAACCTGAAACGGTTCAAAGCTAAAGGACCTGACAGTCTGCCACCTAGTCTTCAAGGATGAAAGTAAGAAATGGTTGCCTAAAGTGATGGAGGCGCTAGGTGGTGTATAATACACAGTGGTAGTGCCGTCAGACTGGCCTACTTCACTGACCATATCAGTCTGTAAGAAGGCAAAGACGTCTTGTGACAACCGTAGGGAATTAGTTTGACTTACATTGTGTACCAGATCCCGTGTTCCATAGTTATCCGACGCCTAACTGCCGTATAAGAACAGCAAACTTGACAAAACCAGACAGGTTTCAGACCTGGACGAGAATGCATTGGTCATATTTTTACCCTCCGACAGGTTCTGAAACACCGTCATACATACCAGCAGTCGACACTTTTCGACCTCAAAATGGCATTTAAAATAGTCGACGGTGAAGTGTTGTGGTGGCGTCTGACTGTGAAAGGAGTAGCGAGCAAGTATATGTTAATCAAAGCTCTCTACTCGAACTCGCACAGCCGTGTAAGCGCTTATGGAGAGTTGTCATATGAATTGATGACAACTATTGGTGTCTGATCGCATGTCCACTGTCACCATTCTTATTTAAATTCGCCATAGACGTACTAATGAACATAACCTTAGGTACGTGTGACTCCACAAAAATTGACCTACTCCCTGACTTGGAGTGTGCAGGCGATAGTGTCCTGCTCGGTGAAGATGCTGACAAAATGCAGGATCTTCTGAACGCATTGAGCAAGAATCTGTGTATGCTTGGGATGCGTTTCGCACCTACTATGCTTTAAGACTGGTCTTCTACACGTACTCCCAGTTTAACGATAGGAAGTGGTGTGCAGGAATGCATCGACAGCCTCAATTACTTGGGGAGTTGCATCAGCCCCAATGGGTTGGTTGCTGACGAAATCTCAGCTCGAATACAAAAGACCCGTTTGGCATTTGTCTACTTGCGTCACCTGTAGCGCCGACTGGCAAGATATCCGACTATATATCAGAGGACGAGTATACTGCACTGCAGTCTGTTTTTTCCTGTTGTACGGCTGTGAGACACGGCCTTCGAAAGTAGAAGACATGAAGCGACTACAGGGTTATGATCGCAGACGTCCCCGTAGCATTGCTCATGTTTGGTGGAATCACCGTGTGAGCAATGTTGAGGTCAGGCTAAGGGTACTATCCAAGACGGACAATTTGATTAACAAGGCTGTGAATCTTAGTCGACTGAGATGGCTTGGACATGTACTGCGCATGCCGATCCACTACCTACATCGACGTACCATGCTAGAGGAAGTTGGACTACGATGGAAAAGGGTTCAGGGTCACCAGACCAAGATCTGGGACCAGTCAATGAAGTCTCTTACTGTTGGCCTGGGTCATGTCGGGCGATATAGACTGCCTGGTTGGGGTCCCTGAGACGAAAGGAGTCAGTAGTTGAGGCCTCTTGGTGACATGGCTGAGAATTGGCCACGATGGCGCAGATGTATTCATTCCTTGACATCTAAAACATGAATATTCTCACTAACCTTTATCTTTATATTGCTTATTATCTCATCGCAGAACTTTATCTTCTTTGGTATCACTCTTTCTCGATCCACCTGCTGGTTGTGTACTACTGTGAATTGTGGCAACATGAGCCGAAGCACTCCTGTGCGAGGTTCTACGTCGATCTTTCCAGTCAATCAGTCATGAGCATGGACACACCGTCCAGTCAACAGTATGACTTGCTCCTCAAACCCATATTACAATGTAGCTGTTTTCACTGTAGTGGTAACTTTTTGTCTTATCACTATTTAACATACAATTCTAGTATATTAGGACCTCAAGCAATATGTTTTTCTTGTCAGCGTAGGTTGTTGGGTTGTTATAATATGCAAAACTGATCATCACGTCAGTGTAGTTGCTGTCGGTCGGTCGGCTTCCACCAACAAGTTAGATATACGTCACAGACATTCTAACACCGAAAAGTTTTGATTTTTTTATTATCCGTTGGCTTTGCTTGCGTGCGTGCTGAACTCCATTGTCATTGGGATTAGAAAATTTTCGTGTAGTTAAGCACAATTTCAGATTCATTGTTTGATGATAAAAAACTGTGAACCTATATTAATCCTTTTTTTAGTTGATCTCTGTGCTTGTCTAGTCCTCTTTTCAGCGAGTCAATTAATGACGTGGACACCACATCTTCTGGGAGTCGGTTCCAGGGGTTGGTTACTCGACGCGAGAACCACTACTTTACAGAGACTAAGTTTACCCTTTGTTTTTGTATTCTCCTGCTATATCCTCTGAGGTATTCCGAGCTAGTGGGAAGGAAAAGAAAAGATAGATCAGGTCCAAAGTCATTTCTTAGAATCCTGTACAGCATGATTAGATCTCCCCTCTGCCTGCGAAAGGCTCCTTAAGTCGATCTTCTTAGGTAAGGTCAGGTATCGCAGGGATCATACGAATAGCTGACCTCTGAACTCTTTCCAGAAGACCTAAGTCACCTTCCAGATTAGGATTTGCCGCCTGTGCAGTTTTCTAATTTAGACCTAACTAAGGATGTGTATAGAACAGTAAACATATCACCACTAATCTTTTAAACGTTCTACATAATGTCCAAAGTGTCATAAAGCTCCGAGCTGCAATCAATCGGCAGAGTGCCATGGTTTTCAAATCATAACTCACTATGATTCCTGAGTCATAGTGGGTCAGTACTAAGGCTCAAAGAGTCCCACTAATATCGTAGGTATTAGAATCTCTATGCCTCATGTGCAAGCTCACTCATTTACCTGCGTTGATAGGCATAATCCGCTTCTCTCACCAGGTAAACAAGCTGTTTAGGTCTGTCTAAAGTGCATGTATATTCTCATCATCCCTAAATTCACGCCAGATTTCTACATCATCGGCGTAGAGAACCGTAGGGGATTTCATGATATTCGGCAGCTCATTTATGTATGGGAGAATTAGCAGGGGACACAGGACTGCCTTGTGGCGCTCCATTCTCTACCGACTTCCAATAGAAGAGTTGAGAATTGATCCTTACTCTTTGTCTCCTACCAACAAGGAAGTCTAATCCATCTAGGTAGATTCCCAGTGACTCCCTAACTTTCCAGTTTCGTGAGCAACCTGGAATGAGGTACCTTGTCGAACGCCTTACTTAAGTCTATGCAAATGACATCTACAAGCATCCTATCATCCCTACCTAGTCAGCTTATTCAGGAGGAAGTCCTCCGTCTCACATTCAAAGCTTTGATACACTAGTATCGCGTTAATATCTTGGTCGCTTGCATTTTAGTCGACAGCACAGCATTTTACATACCCCACTTTCGTGTGCACCCGTTTCTGTGGCTTTCGCAGTTTAGGTATTCTTGACGTAAAGGATGGCACCTCCATCCCCGCATGCTAAACTATCATTTATAAAAGGAACGAATCCTCGTAAATGTGTTTCACTGTCACTAATCTCAGAAACCTGGCTGTTTTCTGAGATAGCAGTGCTTATTACATTACTAATCTCAATCTACTTGTTCAGGAGACGACTTGCAATTGTGTACAGGACGATAAAACCACTTAAATATATTTTCGTCCTATCCATAGAGGCTTGGGTACCATTTGTTGCCGAAACCTCACTACACGAAAACATCACTATTAGGTCTTTCTCTCCTGCTGTTAATCTGGATTTTAGTTCTGCTTCCCGTTTTTTAATTCAATCAGCAAGAGGCAAATCCTTACACATGAACACTCTTGGATTCTATGAATGTTCTTCTTTATGTACTTTGTTAACTTTTGGAAGTGGACTTTGCTTCTAGAAATAAGGCAGACTACGACGAAACAAAGCAACCCAGAAGTATTTAATAGAACGCATCTGAATGTATATGGGTTTTCCATGTACTTCTAATAGACTACTTGGTTATTTTTGAAAACATTGAATGAAATACGGTCAACAACCAAGTGCATGTTCGTGCAGTAGGCAATGAGCCACAGCTATTTTGTAAGGGCTAATTATACTACCTGCCAACACCTTGGTAGGTGGGACTGGGTTCGAACCCATGACGTAGTTGAAAGTCAGCTTCTTAAGCGAATGAACCGCAGCTCTCCTTTGAAAACATCAGTTTCTAAAGAATGTATTATTAAGGTGGTTATTAAGCCAGTAAGCATTAAAACCTTCCGAACTAGTCAGTGGACTAGAATTCATTCTGAATAACTACAAACACAATTAGTGGCGAAAGCATCATAAAGTCATACAAGTTTTCTCTCATCAAACCCTTACAGGATATACTAATTAGGTGTTTGGAGATGTATCGCTAGGTTCTTTTTCCACAGAAAAAGTAATCTTATAATATAAGTGTGGATATAAACGGACACGGATTTAGCAGACTAGTAGTAACTGACAGTGATTATTTATAGGAGAGCTGAATAATGCTGTTTGGGTTTCGGTCGTACATGCCATGCAGTTCGTGCAATACGTCTTACTCTGATTACAGAAGTGCCATGTGCATTAGGTACATATACAAATATTATGCCTTTGGTATCTGTGAACCAGCTTGTACAATAGATCTGTGATCATGGCTAGGTACCGATAATTTTTTCCAGTTAATTGGATAAAATTGCGTCACACCTTGAGGTGGAATTTTACCTTTTTGAAGCCGATAAAAGTAATCGACCACTGGGATGTCCGTTTTGACAGATTCATTTTTCCAGCTACATAAGCAGTTTTTATGTTGACCGTTTTTAAAGTTTTTGTTGAGTCAGCCATTAGTTTTCGTATTTGTTCACATTCATTTTGATTTATTCCTGATGTGCACAATTTCAACAGTTATGCTGTTGCCCTAAGGTTTGTGGTGATTTCAGTTAACCGTGTATAAGAATATTAGGCAGTTTATCATTGAGACCCTCTAAAACCCCAGTTCTTTAGTCTGGGCACTTGACTAAATCAGTCGACCATGATTTCGAATTCTGCCCAATTTACTTTTGTTTTTCAGTTTAGTGGTGGTACGTTAACCCTTGCAAAGAATCTTATGACTATAGCATGTGAATGTGTATGTAGTTTCCAAGTTGATATTGATGAAATGTTATATATTGGGCGAATGTCTTTTTTGGAGGCGATATTAAGGTGACTAAATATTTTCAGAGTGTTGCACAAACTTTCGATTTCAGTTATAACAGTGTAAATGTATTTGTTATATTTGTAACTTTGTAGGTGAGTGATGTTTTCTACATAGATCAGTTTGATGGCAATGCACATATCCGTGGGACCCTGCACTTAACTTTAACGCATGTATTTTTCCTTGGTTTATCCAGAAGACAAGAAATATGGGTAAGTATTTTAAATTCTTATCTTTCTACTACTCAATACTGTTTCGTCAGATTATTGGTTTTGTTTCTATGCTGTTGTGAGGTGAGTTTTACATACAGATTAAAGTGCATGAGTTTAAGTTACAACACTTCAGAACAGAACACAAGTTGATAAAAAAAAGTGATAACAAAGCAGATAAAAGTAGATAAAAAGAGGATAAATAAATGGAGGTTAATGGAAGTGATCACAGTTTCAATGATGATAGTTGTAATCGCTTTTGAGAAAGGTTATGTACAACGTGTAACTAATAATGCCTAGCACCTGCCTAATATGAAGAATAGTGTCAAGAAAACAAGCAGGAAAACTGAACATGCATACTATTAAGGGACAAAGGTACTCAGTAGCCATATATATATATATATATATATATATATATATGATGGATCGAGAAAGATTGATACCAAAGAAGATAAAGTTCTGCGATGAGATAATAAGCAATATAAAGATAAAGGTTAGTGAGAATATTCATGTTTTAGATGTCAAGGAATGAATACATCTGCGCCATCGTGGCCAATTCTCAGCCATGTCACCAAGAGGCCTCAACTACTGACTCCTTTCGTCTCAGGGACCCCAACCAGGCAGTCTATATCGCCCGACATGACCCAGGCCAACAGTAAGAGACTTCATTGACTGGTCCCAGATCTTGGTCTGGTGACCCTGAACCCTTTTCCATCGTAATCCAACTTCCTCTGGCATGGTGGATGACAGTCCTATTAGGCGAGGATACTGACAGGCTACAGAGCCTTATGGTCACTTTGAGTCGGAATTCGAGAATGGTTTGGATGTGTTTGTCACCACACAAATACAAAATTTTGCTTATGAATCGGTCTATGTTGATATCTTATCTGACAATAGGGAGTGAAACGGTTAATTCCATTTAGCTCTTCACGTATCTGAGAGTCGAATCTGCTCTAGTGGGTCAGTGACGAAAACTTTATGGGGACACAAAGGACTTGGTTGGTCTTTATCGACTAACACCGTTTATCGCAGTGGCGATATATCCGATCATATCCTGTCAGTCGATTATACTGGCCTTCAGTTGACTCTATTTTATTATATCGCTCTGAAAAATGACCGATAAAGGTAGAGCACATCAGAAGGCTTTAGGTGTTGAATCACCCTTGCCTTCGTAGCATAGGCCATGTATTTAGGTGTCGCCACGTCAGTAACGTTTGGTCTCGAGTAGAATTTCGGGCAGAAAAAGAAAGTCAGTTGATGAGTCTGTGAGGTGGCTGAGAAATGTTTCGCATGCTTAGTCACCACCTAACTCATCGTGCAACTTTAACTGAAGTAGGTCTTGCCCAGAAAAAGGTTAGAGGCCTGATTCAAATACTGAAACAAAAACTAGTGGTTGGAGACTAGGTGATATGGCTCAGAGTTGATCACACATACACATCACCTTAGTTGTCGCATTGAATTTCAGTATTAATCCATTTCTCATTGCTCTCTTTTTGTGACATTTTACCACTTTTGATTGCTTTCTCCCTCATTTCTTTATCTTTCACCTTGATGCACTCTCTTTTAATGTGCTGACATGAGGTGTAGCAAAGTGGACCGTTACGTGGTAATACGAGGTGCTACGTTGATGCTGACTGACTGATTGACTTACAACTGTGCAGATATATGACCTCGCCTAGATCATGCTGAGAATTCAGTCTTAATAAAGGTCAGTCAACTTTTATTTCGTAGTGGAACGATCCTGAGTGGATGAAACAGCAGATTTGACCCAGTTTTCCATCTGCTCTTTTCTCCCCTATAAATTTGAATAAGACTAGAAAGAAAGGTGGATTATACGCAAATGTATACTAATTTGATACTGGGTGATCATTAAAGGTGAAATGAAAGTGTGAACCGCGGCCAGCGATCACTGGGTTTCCCACCTGATGCTTTACCAACTGAGCTACGAGGTCCGACTGCTGACCAGATTTTTATTTCACTTCAGTCACCAAGGTTTTTGCCCGAATACCATGTGAATTAGTAGCAGGTTACTACCGCTTGGTTGTTTTCACGCTACCTACCTAGTCAGGACCTCTCATCCCAATCCAAATCTAACTGAACTAGAAAGGGAGAGCATCATGTTGTTTAGCTGTGGTCTAAAGTTTCACTCTAACATACGTAACTCTCAAATGCATGTGTAAAATACGAACCAATCCAAGCTCTGACCTCTCTCAACACCTGTTTACATTGTTATATCATTCTGAACATTCGTAATATCCTATATACTATCACTTTTTTTTACTTCTCTAAAGTACACAATCCGCATACTTGTTATCATTAACTCACACATTACCTCGATTGGCTCATATTATATATATAATATATATATATATATATATATATATATATATATATATATATATATATATATATATATATATATATATATATATATAATACCATGCTATACTGCACTATACGGCACCATATAGAAATAACCAATAAGTTTTATACGGGATGATTTGTGAAGTGATTTATTAAGCATTTTTTTTTACCATAGACTGATAATAGCTGGAACACTTCAAAATCGCAGAGCATTGAACAGCTCTTTTTATGACTGTGAATGATTGTAAAACAGGAAGCGTCAACTGTAAGTAATTTGTTAACTTGAATATTCGGAAATCATGGATTCACCTGTTGGTATTTGAGAGTTCACAATACGAGCAAAAACGGACAGGGGTGAATCAAATGTCTTGTGTTTGCCAGTTTTAAATCACCAAAACCAACACAAGTAAATCATCAAAGTTACAAGAGTTACTATTGGATTTTTTTTTATCATAGAATGATTCAACAAACATTCAAAATACAAAATGTTTCAGCATCAGGGTTTAAGAAAACATTGTTAAAGATTTAAAAGCCCAGACTTTCTATTCAGCAGAAAATAGAAAAACAACGATAGTTAAAGGTGTTATTAGAAATGAAATTAGGAGCAGAATATGGTCATGCTATGTAACTAAACATCAAAAGTAAAATCATCAGGATAGTAAATGGATGGCAGTTTTTATTCCTCTGAGTACATATGTTGGTTTTGAGCTATTTGATTGTCACTGCTTCACTGGAACGGAGTAAAGTCAAATTTACCTGCCCTTCACCTGCTTTAAAACTACTTTAAAATGTTAGCATCGTGTCTACTATGAAGTACGTAATGAACAATTTTACTGTTCTTCAGTCGTACAACTTAGTCTTAAATTATTATCATGATCAGACTTACAATCATAAATCTTTTCTTGACCTTTTACAATTTAGGTGCTTTGACAAATGCATAGAAATTGATAGACAGTTAATAGTAATGAAATGTAACAGTAATTTAATGTCCAGGCTATATTTCATTAAAAGTAGGCAAACTGTTTCTCCATCTAGAAACTTACTCTACTTATTCAGTGGTTCTACACAACACGAAGAGTGTTTCATCTATCTTCAACGACCATACTTAAAGGTTGTGAGCGATTAAGATTTAGTGCAGTCTCTTATTCTCATGTTTCAATATTTTACTTGACTATTTGAAATGTTTGTGGAACTGCCTAATCCTTTTGCAGCATATAATAGGTTTTAAAAATGTATTTCACTGTATTAGACACTCAACTTTCATATGTTTTAGTCATGAGCTTGAAAATCATCCAACGCTCTGGGGGGTTGGATAGATGCGTAGTATCACAGCCTTCACACAATCCGACTTACTATCTAATAAATGAATATGTGAGTGACTGTTGAATCGTAGAAGAGAGAAGTAACAATTTCGTGTTTCAACTAGTGATGAACCGAAACACACGTATCTATACTTATTAATACGTAAAAGCGTATTTCTGATCAAACTCATAGATATTTGTTTTCTCTTATTGCTTTGATAGGATTTGTGGATGTTAGTTTTTTTCCCTCTACTTTCATTCCGTTTTAGTTGCAGAATCAGTTGATTTCTTCAGTTGAACGTCTTCCATTGACTACTGGTGGTGCACCTCTGGTTATTCGTGGTAAAGATTTTCGAGTACTTCATCTGATCCTCCTCAAAGAACGTGACTGTCATGATGTTTATCTAACTTTGACCCGGTTATTACGTATTTGTGAGTCATACCTACTTATAGTAATATTCTTCGTTGATGATATGGAATAACAAGTTGTCTTAAACTTGCCTACGATATCTTGAGTTTAGCATATTTTTATATTCGAGTAATTAACCTAAACGAATACGTAATGCTCCTGGTATTATATTCAGGGATGTTTACTGAAACTGACAGGTAAGTTGGATTACAACCAATCGGTGTCCTCCACATTATTAACTGAAGATCCTACCAGCTGAGCTATCAGACCTAATTGTTACCCATATCTGAATACTGCGATAGCAGATGTTTCAAAGTGATCGACATAGAAACTTAGATCTGTTCCAGACTCACAGATCTTAATCAACGCAAACTAGAAGTTCACAGGTTACTATGTCTTGATGAATCAAATGTAATGCAAAATAAATCAAGCTCTTAATTTGATGCATTTTGAAATAAGAACACTAAAGAATATGGTTGTTTAAATTACATATTCGGTTGCAAGCTAGAATTTGGCTTGAAAATATTTGACTCAGCTACTATTCCAGTGTACTAGTTCACCATCATTCTAAGATCAAAAATGTACTGTGGTAGTTCATGTTGTTCCGTGATGTATGCGACAGTGCAATCTTTAATTATTGTTGCATAAAAATGCTTGTTTATTCACAGTATCGTAGCGTAATTTAGAAATTTGAACATTCGTAAATTATATTAGTGTTATTCCTTGTGACTTTTCTTCTCAAATATATTATTTCAGCACATGTATCTGAGCTTCCTTGTTATCGTTTTGTCCCATCTGACTGTTACTGGCCTCGAGAAGAAGGTTGGTCAATGTTTTCATTGGAATCACAGTATAATCGATTTGGACTGCCTAATTCTTTTTGGACATTGTCGAATGTGAATAAAAATTTTGAGGTTAGTTATGATGTGTAATTAAAAACAATACATCTTTTTTCTTGTTTATTCTGTTATAGTAATCAGTTACTTTTTTTCATTAGTTTCAACTAAAGTATATTTGACAGTGTCATCAGTCACTGAGTCACATGAACTCCAACCCTCTCTCCACCGGCTAAGATGTCGTGTGTTTGCAAGTGTTAACCTACAACAACCAATCTTTATTCTATAGCAATTTGGCACTAACTAACCATCTCTACACTTTTTGTGATTTCAGTAGGCACTGTTATGTCTAGTTGTTCGTAGATACCATATGCTAAATTTCTCCGGGTGCATCAATACCGGTTCCTAGTATCGACTTCACTTTTTGAATGATAGTTCCACTTTGCTTAAACAGGGGTTATCAGACATCATTGTTACTTGCATAAGATTACTATGAAGCGCGATGTGTTGCGTGCAAGTGCAAACACAGGAAAGACTACTGCATCTCTGACATGTTTCTTGTCACTGTTACAGTGCGAAGCTGTTTATAATTCAGTACTTTTTCCACCTTTTTATGGCGTGAGTATATAATGCAATGGTTCCATGGTTAGTTAAAGTGTGCATAGAAAACAAATCTAAGTTCATGTACTACCTGCTCGTTTATTACACCAACTTATATACCCACACTTGACTTCCATATTGAGTAACTAACTGAAAAGTTCAAGCCAAATTCGTGAGGTAATGTATGTGGAAATTGAAATACATTATGTATCGTAATTTACTTGGTGGCTAGCGGTGAACTCCAGTACTCTTGTTTCCTCCTATATGGAACCCATCAGCAGGATGTACCTGCACCCCAGTGAGTGGGCGGTGTTCTCACTGGAACTAGGACCCAGTCATCATTGCTTAAAACGCCAAGGGCTTACCCACCAGACCACTGAGGCATGTGAACCACTTCCTGTAGTTATTAAATAACATCATGAATATTTAGGAAGTACCGAGGTATCTACATAGAAGCTCATTGTCAACATAGATCGAGTAATTTGATTCAGTGTAACAACGGGAAATTAGAATTATCAGTAATGCGCCAAGTTTCTCAACCATCCATCACACGGAAGCACTGACACGACTGAATTAGTGTTGAAAATCCGGATGTTGTTCAGGCTTTATGCTGAGTGGAGTGCAATAGATCTCCACACTGATTTCAGGTTAATGAAGGAAGGCCTGTCTTGCTTGCTTTTCCGATCCTGTCGACTTTGACATCGTCATCCGTTTCTGTGGCTGTGCCTGTGCTGACTGTAGTTGAAAAGATGCTGCCTAGGTAGGTAGATAGGTAGGTGGGTAGGTGAAAGAGACTACTTCGTTTAGGCTTCTCCCGTTAATAGTGGTTGGTGCTTGTTGTTGGTTGGCAATCTTCATCACATGTGTCTTCTGTACGTTCACCTGATGGAAGTTCCGTCTTCCTTCACTGCCCTGCCTCGACTCGCCTCACCTCGCCTCGCCTCACCTCTTCTGTCAACTCCTTGGTTTTTGACTGTAGATGTTTGAGTTTGTGTGACAAGACATTAGACATAAATGATAATCTGCGGTGACATCCAAATCTTCTTGTTGTGTGTTTTCATCAGTCAAACGGCGTATGCCCCTCTTCTCACTGCTCACAGCTCTCTGTTGCATAATCCAGTCCAGTCCAGTCCAGTCCTGTTCAGTCGAACATAATCAGGAAGATGATCGGTGATGATGGTTGGTGGCAACCTTGTCTTACTCCTTCGTGTCTTCACTTCAAAGGCATCAGTGAGCTGATCTTCCCATTGTGAATCATTTGGCATGTACCATGATATAGTATATAGGTATTGGATGAGGTTCATAAATATTTGTGGGAGTAAAAGTGTAGTGTTGAAGAAGCTGCATGTCAAATTACTTCTCGGTAGACGTCTCGATCGAAGGCCTTTTTAAAATTTATGAAGTTGAGGTAGAGATGCAGTTGACTGGGATTCATGCTGTGTTGTGTGATGATGCGTAGTGTCGCGTGGTGTTGCAATCTGATGCGCACATGATTTCGTTTTCCTGAAACCAGCTAGCCAGCCAGTCAGTCAGCCATCCTGTTCCGGTTGTAATTTTCAATGTAGAGCATTTTGTAGTCTCCCTGGGATGATGTGGCTTAACATTTTGGTTTGTGTGGACAATAGTGGAGCATGATTGTGCACCAGTTCTTGCAATAACTTAGGTTGGCCTTCTTTCGAAGTTTGATGAGGTAGCCCTTTTTCCAATCAATAGGCACGTACTTTTCCTTCCTTCCTTCCTTCCTCCCTTGCAAACCTTCTGCAGTAGTGGTGTGAGCATGTCAGCTGTTGACTCTGCGTGTTGAGAAGTTGCAACTGGTTGTGGTGCTTTCCTGGCTTTCATCAAGTTTATGGCGTGGCGTTCATGACTTGACTTCTGTGATTGTCGGAGTGTCTGTGTTCACTGGTAGTTGTGTGACTGGGTTGCTGGTGGTATTTCTCGACGCGTTGCAGGTGGTGGTGGTGGTGGTGGTGGTGGTGCTGGTGTTGGTGGTCGATTGGAGAGTTTTTGAAGGAAGTGGCCAGCCCATCGTTACCTTTGTTTCTCCTGTTTGGTGGTAACTAGGTTTCCATCACTATCTTTCATTAGTTACATCTGTGTTTACCTCTGTCCTCCGAGACAGTCACCTGGTTATTTGATATAATGTTGTCAGGTGTCTGTCTGTCTATCCTGGAGCCTACAGCTTTCAGCCTGTTGTGCTTCTTCACATGTAAGTGTGTGTCGTCGAGGTGAGTGTCTTTTGTGTTTGTGCTCACTGTTGTTCACTTGTTTGTGGAGTGTAGTGTTGTATAGGTTGTATTCAGTTGCTGTTTTGGTTGTTGATGCCTGCTGTGCACTCGACTGGACTGGACTGGACTGGACTTGTTCATCTTCATCTTCATCTTCATCTTCTGCTTCTCCTCCACCATCAGCATCAGCATCTTGGTCTCCCTGCTGTGTCAGGTTTCATGTGTCCATTGAGATGCATTCCTTGTCGTGTTTGTTGTTGCTTCCTAGCACGTTTATGCAGGCATGTTTCCTTGCAGATCTGTTTCAGAGAGTTGCAGTGTTGTTCGATGCAGGTTTCCTGGTGTATGTTGCTTAGTGTCTGGCATTTTTCCTGATGGTTGGTTGGCTTGCTGGCTGGCTGGTTGGCTGACTGACTGACTGACTACGTGAAGATGTTGTTTGTAGCTTTGTCCTCGAGTTTGTGTTATGGGTGTTGAGGTTGAAGTTGAAGTTGAAGTTGAAGTGTGTGCGTGTATCAGCAGGTTGTTAGAAGGCTTTTAAGTTAATTTTGAAGGTAGGTTCGTTGTAGTAGATAGTGAGTGGTGTTAACCAGGTATATGTGCTCCCCTTCTTGATCTGATCTGATCTGATCTGATCTAATCTGATGTGATCTGATGTGATGTGATGTGATGTGATCTTGTGTGCAGTCCAGTCTAGTAGTCTGCGTCTCCATCTGCACTTTCTTCAGATTGAGATGAATTCGATCTGATGTTTATTGTATTGTTTTCTGGTGTCTTGTGAAATCGAATGCATGTCTCTGCCTTGTGAATTTCCTTGTGTTTGTACACACTGCATCGCCTCGAATTACCAAATGGTTGAATGTGCAGACGTCTGTAAACAGTTGTCCATTCTCATTCATCATCATCATCATCATCATCATCACTTCACTGAGTGTTTGTCGATGGATGATGAGTTCTCCTGTTCCTGTGTTGTCCGCTCCGAGTTTGTCATTCACGTCACCCCCTCCTCACTGATTTGAATTTTGATGTTGCCAACTGGAATGTGGTGTTGTGGAGTAGTGATTTGAGTTGTCTGTAGAATTCCTCCCTGTTGTGTTGATGTGCTTGATTATTTGTAGGTGCACAGTGCACCTTCGTGTAGTGTAGTGTAGCGTAGTGCAGCATTGTATGATTGTGACTTTGCTTTGTTTTGAGTTGAATGGATGTTGCTGTGATGTTGTATGAGTAGATTGGTTGGCAGTGCGTGGGAGAGGAGAGGGTTGGATGGTGTTCAAGGGGACATCATGATAGCCATCGACTCGACAAGTGAGTGAGTGTGGTTGTGGTTGTTGTTTGTGTGACAATATGGGAGTAGATTATTGACTGTTGAGTTGAGAGTTTGGAGAGTTGACTTGGATTCCATGTGGTTTTGCAGATTCGTAATACTTCTATGTTATACGTTTTCATCTGTTTTGTGATCTGGTCATCCTTGCTAGCCAGCCAGCCAGCGAGTCAGCCAAGTTGAAACCTTGTGGAGAGATTGTATGTCCCCACGCTTAGTTTTGCTTTTATCGAGAGAAGAGAAGACACATCGGCCAGTTGGTTTGCGGAAGGCAGGCTTTCACCAACTGGCGTCATTTCGTCTCCCCGAATCCGGGGAGGAACAAGTTTATTTTTATGTTTTATATTTTCTTTGTGGTTTGAGTTTTGTTTTACAATAGGATTGGTTTTCCGGTTTAGGATCGCTATCCCTATACCCAGCGTTCCCTCTTTTTTGGGGGGTTAGGACCTACTAGTAACTAGTGAAGTAGTTAACTATGGGAGGTTTCGTATATCATTGCTCTCATATTATTCTGACGAAGTAAAACTTGATAAATAATTCTTTTAGGTTTGCAGTACCTACCCATCTTTACTGTGTGTTCCAAACATGATATCAAAGAATATCCTCTACGGAAGCTCACGTTTTCGTAGTCGTGGTAGATTTCCCGTTTTAACCTATCTACATCCAAATGGAAAGGTTAGTTTAATAAATCATCCCCTTTTTTTGTGACTTCTCCTACTGAGTTATTAATGGTGTGTTACTTTTCGTGGTTTGAATAATCTCAAAATAATTCTTAAATATTAAATATTGTTTTTCAGTCGACAGAAAACCCTTAACTTGTGTGTTGTTCTTGTTTGTGCTAATCGGCAAGGTATACTTGCACTCTTGTGGAAATTCATGTTTTCCAGGACACTGACATCAATCGGTTTCCAAGTTAGGAATTTTATCCGTAAGCTAATCCAGTCATAACTAACTTTTATGGTAATTGCAACTAATTCAGCTGTTAAATCCTTCCTGCTGGTCAGAGCGCATCGAAAAAGTTTTCAAGTTGATCATCACACTCAGTGCCCCTGCACTGTAGTTTACTTAGTTTAGTGTTAGTTATAAGTGACTGCTTTATAAAAAGTTAACATGATGGATATAATTCCACCGTCTTATCGAGATTGAATTATTTCAAAGTAGTTTTCACCACTCACTTAAATAAGTTTGAGAGCCATTCAAAATCTGACAGCACTAGACAGCTGTTTCGTCCTAGTTTGAGAAGCTATAACCCATATGGCCAAGTAATTCGAATGTGATAACATATACATACCGATGACATTCAATGATAGCTGTGGTATGCTGTGAATCAACAGAAGGAAGAAAATACAGAACACTGGATTTCAATCGAAGCAATGATCACGTGCTTTGTATGATATCTGATGATTTTGAGAATCGGTTGCACATGGCCGTTGAAAGTGGAAGATATAAAAAGGCTTCAGGTGTTTGACCACCGTTGCCTTCGTAGTATAGGACGTATTCCATAGTGTCATCACGTGAGTAATGCGGAAGTCAGGTGTAGAGTTTTAGGGAGAAGAGGTAAGTCATTTGACGAGGTTATGAACCTTCATCGACTGAGATGGTTGGGACACGTACTACTTATGCCTAGTCACCGATTGCCTCGTCACACAATGTTGGCTGAGGTGGGTCCAGGCTGGAATAAGGCTCGAGGTGACCAGAATAAAACATGGCACTAATGTATGAAGTCTCTGACTGTTGGTTTAGGCCATGTGGGGCGATGCAGACTAGGTGGTTGGGACAAGAGGAACCAGTGGCTGGGGACTAGGTGATATGGCTCAGAACCGATGTCAGTGGCGCAGATGTATACGCATATTATCCTCATCTTAACAACACTATACCGAATCTCACACTTTTCTCATTCTTCTTTCCTCCCTTTGAGTACTTTATATTTCTTTTGACTGCATTCACTTATCTTCATCCTTCACCTCACTACCTTTCTACTTGATGAACTGACGTGAGGTGTGGCAACTCGGACTGTTACGCAGTAATGCCTGGTCCTATGTTGATAATGATTGACCGATTGCACTCCATTGACCAATCAGTGTACTTAACCCAATCCTACAGGAGGTCGTTCGCACCTTAAATAGCTTATTTGCAACGTTTCTGACTGTCAGTTGGTCACACACATGATCCCTAAACGGGCATTATTTCCCTCAAAGTAAAATACACGTTTTACTGATGAGTGCCAACAAGCACAAAATGTTGGTCAAGCAGGACTTGCTACTAATTAGCTTCAACCACTTAACAGAGTAGTCTAGTCCTTGGCTATTCTACCATAAGTCTGGAATACTTCTAAAGAGATTCTTGTGACCCAGCTAGTATCTTGCGTTTCTTCAAAGCTGAGTGGGATCTGATGATCAAGTTACACCATCTAATTAGATTTAGTGTTGTGTGTTTTGAAGTTATAAACTAAGGTAGTTAATTCGTAGTTTCTATTGCTATGCTGCCTAACAGTATGAGTTTCTTTCTTCGGCCAGGCACACACGGTTTCACATGCACACTTTCATTGAGTATCAAAAACACAACACTAATTTCTGGTTTCCTCTAATATACCCCAGTTGTTTAGACAATCAGTCTGAAATCAGTAAGTGTTGGATTTAAACCCTCTCCATGAACTTTGTTTCACATATTATGATAGTTATGTTTTTTCCGCATATAACAGATTCCAGTTACAACCATTCATCACAGATGCACATTCTAGAAGCTGTGTTACGTAATATTACTCGACTTAATCGTCTCTCCTACTTTTTTCAGTCAGCTTTATGCCGAAGTAGTCAACCGCTAGCTGGCTTTTCTTCAAAATCTACAGAGGACCAGGTACTGTTTGAAGCCATACGTAATTCAAATCCTGAATCCAGTATTCTATATGTGGTTGACACTCGACCTGCTATCAATGCATTAACTAATCGTGCACAAGGCAAAGGATACGAAGATACTAATATTTATCGCAACATTATCATTCAGTTCTTCGATATAGAAAACATTCATGTTGTTCGATCATCTTTAGAAAAGTTGTTAAAAGGTAGGAAGTTTATTTATTTGACCTACTCTCTTTGTTAGTGTAATTGGTTACACATAGGTCATTCAGATAACGTGCCCATAAACATCGCATAATCATTTGGTATGTGGAGTTGCCAAATAACTTGGCTTACATATAGATTGAAGTTAGCTACACCAGAATTATCTATTCAGCACTCCATTAGATGGTCTGTAATCTGTTATTGCTTAGAGGTTATCATCTATAACTACAGTTATTATGGGTGTTCGCTTTCATCAAATACACTTGCCATCCTCACTTATATTTTCCGACTTTGTTGAGAACGCTAAAAGGCTTCAGATGTATTCCGTTCATAAGCCTATCTAATCTTTTGTGTTGATATTCTACTGATTGAAGCATTTAAACATCGTACTTTTTATTACCAGTCTAAAGTTTTGCTAAAATGTATAGTGCATAGTTTTTTTTATAGCTAGCTAGTCAGTTAATTCAAGTTGTCATCAGAGTTCGTCTTTTATAATCCTGACTTATAAAGTATGGTCCAGTTTGGAAATAAAACTTATGCAGCGTATATACACGTAGCTTACAAGTTTTAGGCAGGAGAAGGCAGTGGTTCTGCTTACCACCGTGTTATTTTTCTTCTTACCATGCCACAACTGGACGATAAGTTACCATCATAATTATCATTTACTTCTACTTCTTGGCTGTTTATTGGAATTTCAACTCAAAAATCCTTTTGGTAACTATATTTCTTCGAAAAGCCTTGTTCATTTTCTCACTTCTGAAGTATGCTTTCACCTTCCAGCAATCAACTTGTCTTGTAAGTTTTCTATATCTGCGTTTGTAACTGTAGGTAACGGCCCACATGCAACACACAATAGATTCTATAGGTCATAACTTCAGTTTCAACAGTTGGTTAATAAACATTCAGTTTGCAGGAGTTTGTCGGAGTTACTTGGTTTTAAGGTGATATTCATCACGGACTGACATCATTTGGAGGAGGACCATTGAAAACCTGGGATCACTATGCAGCTGTTTCGTATTGATGTGAGACTCAGCAGTCCAAATTCACGATCCTTCCAGAGATCAAACCCAAGACTTCCAGTCCTCATGGTGAACATGTCTCCATTCAACTACTGGGTAAAAATCCAATGGTGACCTATGAGGTCAATCAAGTCAGATGTGAGGACAAATACTCGCCGATGGCATTGGATGATGGTTGCGCATTATCTGTATACAATACTCGACAATTCACTCAGTAAACACAAGGAAAAAAACAGCGTTAGGCTGAAGAGTGTTTAATTAAATTGTAAGAGCAACTCATGGGTTTATATACAGTGGGAAAATTCTTGACTTCGACAATATTAAAAGTGCAAGAACAACTAATTGGAAAATAGCGTCCTTAAAAGTAGTAGAAAAGAGCGATCTACGCTAGACAGAAAAAGTTTAAAAAAGACAAATTTCTATAAAGTAAATTTTTATGAAGTTAGCGTTCATTTTAAGATATCTAGCATCCCCAACACGATGTATGAACAATATGCAAATCGATTGGGTTTTTGTTTGCGCTATGCAAAAAAATAATAATAAAATTTTCTTCATTGGAGTTTCCGTAGTTTTGAAAACCATAAATTGGAGATCCTGGATAAAATTACTTTTGTCTTTCTTGCTTTAAGTTATTTCTGGCGTTAGCTTAATTTATTGGACTTTTTTTGCATTTAACACTTATATGCTAAAAAAATGTAACGTTATATACAACCTGTCGAAAGGCATCTGGATACTGAGAACTTCATACTTATTCTAAAATCTGTGACACAGTAGGAAAATAAACAGGGTATTATGAAAATAAGATTGTAATTACGTAATGTAGGTTAAATCTATGACAGCGTAGAAAAATGAATAAGGCATACATGTGTAGCCATGGCCATCATAAAGCCCTGTCTGCCACAGATTCATTTTGTATTAGGTAACTACACATGTATACCTTATTCATTTTGCTACTCTGTCATAGATTTAACCTGCATTACGTAATTACAATCTTATTTTCATAATACTCTGTTTATTCCAAAGTGTTTGCATAACTACCACTTATGTTTTGATACTGGTAAAATATAGTATGTATCGGTAATGATGAGTTTCCAGAATGTTGCTCTCATTTCTCTACGCTTACTTTGAAGTGTTAGGTCATCAGACTTATTTAACTGCATTACTATGTTCACAATGATCTGAGTTAAGTAGTTGGAGGAAGTAGACGAAATGATGTGTTTGACCTACGTATCATGCTTGTTATTATTTATCATCAAGATATATCTAAAACCTTGTAGTAACTAACGCCTTCCGTCATAGATTTGGACCCCCATCACCCGTTGCTACATCAGAGATATCACGATCGGATTATTCGGGTTGCGACTGACTTCTTATAGGTAGATAAAGTGATCCGTCACTGAGGACTAACCAATTTCGTGTTATATAATCTTTTAAGACTGCAAATAGATGTGTTAACGAGCAGGTAACCTATGTTTAGGTCTTCTTACCGCGTGTTTCGTATTTCGAAGGTCTGTCTTGCGTATCGCGATGGTACTATACAGTTAGGTACACAGGACATTTTTGTTTCTAAATAACTAAGTATCAATATTTTGTTCTTTTTTCATGCTTACCTGTCTAATCTAGTTCTATAGAATGGTAGTCAGTGTTTAAAAAGCTTAATGGTAAGGTCTGTAACTGTAGTGTAGAGTGGTATAGTTGGACTTTTTGAGAAAGTAATAGTTCCTTGGTACACCTTACTGGAGGTTATCAAGAAATACAGCAGTTGTCAGTTACGGCCTCTTGTCGCTCAAAAACATAAACACTGCAATTTCTTAATCATTGGTCAAATGTTTTATAAACTGAATTCCAATGTCCTACTACTAGTCAGTTTTTAGTTTCACTCTATTCGTTCAGTCTATTGCTCAACTGAAGTGAGTGCAAGGAACTTTTATTTGCAAATTTCGCACTTCGCTGAATTATTTGTGCAGTCAAACCTTGACACATTTTAAATTGATGAGAATCAGTTAACTAAGAGAAAAATGGATCAACCAATCGGTAATATATATATATATATTATATATATATATATATATATATATATATATGATGATTATTGAAGAAACTGAATTATCCTCCTCTCAGCCCAACTGTAACCAATAGTAGCCTTTGGATTCACTATTCGAGTATGCATTTAGCTTAGTAATAAGATCTGTTAGGTATCTCGTTTTCAGTTTCATTTTGTCTTTAGTTGTTGGCTTTCATTCTCAGACGGGCTTTCCGTCAGCATAGAGACAGTCACTTAAGTCGGTTATATTTTTTTGACTTGGAAAATTGTATTCTTTCCAACCGCTAATGTATATGCACATTTTCTGTTGCATGTTCACTGTTTTAATCAGTTGATTTTATCGCTTTTATATCAGTCTGTTGCAATCCAACAATCACATTGGAACACTTCACATCAGGTCTAGATAAATCTGGTTGGCTGAAACACTTACATGCCATCTTGGAAGCAGCTTATTTTGTGGCTAAGCGATTGGATGAAGGTAATTCTGTACTGGTCCACTGTTCTGACGGATGGGATCGAACTGCTCAAGTTTGTGCTTTAGCGCAAGTTATTTTAGACCCGTATTATCGGACATTTTGGGGATTACAGGTGTGTTCATATATATCCTTCAAAATGCCTTATATACGTACTTATCAATACGTTCTAAAATTATTTAATGGTTTACTCAATCAATTAATAAACAAAATTAAGTCAGATAAGTGTAGGATCAGAAAGTTTTTACCCAATAAGCAGTTTGGAAATATATTAGGACATTCATGCCTAAATTCTCCCAAGAGTGAACGTAACGTTATCAAACTCAAAAGACAGCCTCTTATCAGAGATTTCAAACTGCTAACCAGGGTACTATGTCTAATTTTGTCTGTATCAGTTTTACCGAAGGAATATGTTAAAGTCTGAACACTTGAACTAAAGCTGATGAACGTATTAAGAGTCAATGAACCTTAATGATTAAAGTGAGAATCGAAGTGTTGCCAATTGGAAGGATAATAGGATACAGTTTCTAAACAGATATTCGTATTAAATAAAGCAGTTTGGAGAATTTGTAGAGTCTTCCTTTTATCCTGCTTCAAGTCCTGTATCCAGAAGGTTCAGTGTTTTGATGTGCGGTGTATGCAGGTTTATATTAATTGTCACAGGTGCCAACTCCTTTGAAAGTGTAGAATGTTAAATTTTCTTCATTCAATATTGTAAGTATTTGCTTTGTAAGTATTTATTTGTTTTCCGTCAACCGGAGGTCATCTTTCCAATATGAATTAAAGTGTAATCAGTTGTTACAACCGAAGAAAACTGGATCTTGAATTTCACATTTAGGCTGTTTCCAAAAAAAATGTTTTCAGAAACTTGATTATTACAAATCTAAGTATTATGGTTTTTTATTTCATTCAAATCAACCTGTCACTTTTAGGTCTTGTAATACTCTTTGGAATAGCTCCTTTTGTCTGATATGGCTGCTAATCGAGCATCAGATAACTTTAAGTCAACTTGTTTGATCTGGTAGGCCTTTGTTAGTCCCTTTTCAAGGTGGACTATTCATTCTTAGACTTTATTTCGAAGCTAATCGCTTCGCACAAAAATAGGTTTCATCTAGACACTAGAAAATTAGTCACATCTATGGTACGAGGGTAGCCGATACTAACTGAATGCTCTAGCTCCTCTAGATGAAGCGAGGTTTGAATCCGTTAACCCAAGTTTAAAGGACCAGTCAGCTTTACGGCGGGGGGTCTTTCTTTTGTAAAATAACGTATAATCTCATCACATTTTTTATTTTAGTATGTAATGATTATTGTTTCATCATTTTTGCTGCATTCGTTCCACCATCTATGGTTTTCTTTCCCGATTTGTGCTGAACAGGCTTTGATTGAAAAAGACTGGATTCAGTTTGGTTATAAATTTACTGAAAGATGTGGACTGGAATCTGATGTTGATCCTCGTGAGGTGTCACCCATCTTCACTCAGTTTCTTGATTGTCTTCGACACTTGTTAGAAATATGTCCAAGTAAATTTGAATATAATGTAAAACTGTTACAGTTTTTACACGACCAAGTTTATTCAGCAGTTTATGGGACCTTCATTGGATGTAGTGAAAAAGAGAGAATAACTCTTGGGTAGGTTTTTATTCGTCTCATACAGCTGTTGTTTTTAATTACGACCCACTTTCCCCCCTTGTTTTTCCAGTTAGAAATTCTTTAATCACCTCAACGTGAAATGCGCGTATAAAGTGGACTTATCAAATAAAACAAGTGACAAAACATGTTTCTTTGAATAGTGTGCATAGACACAAAAACGTTCGGTATACGTTTCATAACTGATACATATCAGCTGTTAATTCATATCTGACCTTCTAAGCATATTTCTCTTCATCTGGAGGTGATACATTATTGATCAGTGGCTCATTAGCTTTAGAACTCTTTGTCTTAGGCTTGGTGCAATGGGTTTGGAGTCCGAACCCCACCTCACCTACTTTCGTCCGGGTAACCTGGTAGTCTCATAAGCGTTCACGCAAGTATGGCCCATAACCTAGTACTTAAAGCATGTAATCAGTTGAGTTACATTACGTACAGCTGATTTCCACCGGGAGAAAGTGATTCTCATGGATACCAAGCCTTGAACTTCCGATTCAGTGTGTAATTCACAAGGCAGTGTAGAGGAACATCAAAATTTGCACTCCCATAATTGGTGACCAAAATTGGTCTGTAGATTATGAGTTCTATCTGGATCCTGTAGACCGTATGAACCACTACTTTATAGTTAGAGTTATACATTTCTTCTAGGGTAAATTCTATCCATCTAACCACTTAGTTAAAACGCTGGATGCCAGTTCTAGTTATTTTTGCATAAGTTCAAGCGGGCTGATATGAGGATACAGACAAATTCCTAGTTTGGAGATGGAGCAATCAAAATATACTTTGTTATCACTTCTATAGTTAGACACACAGACGGTAGATCAGCCAATCAACTATCAGTTATTATTATTTGTTCCTTGGGTTCCTAGTGGAACATAGGGCTTCAGCAGCACGTCTCCATCCCACTCTCCCCTCTGCAGTCCTTTTAACCTGGCTCCACGACTACCCACAAGCTTTCATTCCTTCCTCACACGATCTCCTCCATCCCACTCTCAACTGTGACGACCAACTCATCGTTTCCCTTTCCGTTCCACCCGAGGGTCTGACGTGGCGCGTGATGTCCCCAAACGGCCTTCTCAGTGTCAGAGAGTCTCTGTTCACTGGTAGTTCTGTGGCTGTGTTACTGGTGGTATTTCTCGACGCGTTGCAGGTGGTGGTGGTGGTGGTGTTGGTGGTCGATTAGAGAGTTTTTTGAAGGAAGTGGCCAGCCCATCGTTACCTTTGTTTCTCCTGTTTGGTGGTAACTAGGTTTCCATCACTATCTTTCATTAGTTACATCTGTGTTTATCTCTGTCCTCCGAGACAGTCACCTGGTTATTTGATATAATGTTGTCAGGTGTCTGTCTGTCTGTCTATCCTGGAGCCTACAGCTTTCAGCCTGTTGTGCTTCTTCACTTGTAAGTGTGTGTCGTCGAGGTGAGTGTCTTTTGTGTTTGTGCTCACTGTTGTTCACTTGTTTGTGGAGTGTAGTGTTGTATAGGTTGTATTCAGTTGCTGTTTTGGTTGTTGATGCCTGCTGTGCACTGCACTGGACTGGACTGGACTGAACTTGACTGGACTGGTTCATCTTCATCTTCTGCTTCTCCTCCACTATCACCATCAGCATCAGCATCTTGGTCTCCCTGCTGTGTCAGGTTTCATGTGTCCATTGAGATGCATTCCTTGTCGTGTTTGTTGTTGCTTCCTAGCACGTTTATGCAGGCATGTTTCCTTGCAGATCTGTTTCAGAGAGTTGCAGTGTTGTTCGATGCAGGTTTCCTGGTGTATGTTGCTTAGTGTCTGGCATTTTTCCTGATGGTTGGTTGGCTTGCTGGCTGGCTGGTTGGCTGACTGACTGACTGACTACGTGAAGATGTTGTTTGTAGCTTTGTCCTCGAGTTTGTGTTATGGGTGTTGAGGTTGAAGTTGAAGTTGAAGTTGAAGTGTGTGCGTGTATCAGCAGGTTGTTAGAAGGCTTTTAAGTTAATTTTGAAGGTAGGTTCGTTGTAGTAGATAGTGAGTGGTGTTAACCAGGTATATGTGCTCCCCTTCTTGATCTGATCTGATCTGATCTAATCTGATGTGATCTGATGTGATGTGATGTGATGTGATCTTGTGTGCAGTCCAGTCTAGTAGTCTGCGTCTCCATCTGCACTTTCTTCAGATTGAGATGAATTCGATCTGATGTTTATTGTATTGTTTTCTGGTGTCTTGTGAAATCGAATGTATGTCTCTGCCTTGTGAATTTCCTTGTGTTTGTACACACTGCATCGCCTCGAATTACCAAATGGTTGAATGTGCAGACGTCTGTAAACAGTTGTCCATTCTCATTCATCATCATCATCATCATCATCATCACTTCACTGAGTGTTTGTCGATGGATGATGAGTTCTCCTGTTCCTGTGTTGTCCGCTCCGAGTTTGGCATTCACGTCACCCCCTCCTCACTGATTTGAATTTTGATGTTGCCAACTGGAATGTGGTGTTGTGGAGTAGTGATTTGAGTTGTCTGTAGAATTCCTCCCTGTTGTGTTGATGTGCTTGATTATTTGTAGGTGCACAGTGCACCTTCGTGTAGTGTAGTGTAGCGTAGTGCAGCATTGTATGATTGTGACTTTGCTTTGTTTTGAGTTGAATGGATGTTGCTGTGATGTTGTATGAGTAGATTGGTTGGCAGTGCGTGGGAGAGGAGAGGGTTGGATGGTGTTCAAGGGGACATCATGATAGCCATCGACTCGACAAGTGAGTGAGTGAGTGAGTGAGTGAGTGTGTTTGTGGTTGTTGTTTGTGTGACAATATGGGAGTAGATTATTGACTGTTGAGTTGAGAGTTTGGAGAGTTGACTTGGATTCCATGTGGTTTTGCAGATTCGTAATACTTCTATGTTATACGTTTTCATCTGTTTTGTGATCTGGGCATCGTTGCCTGCCTGCCAGCCAGTCAGGCAACTTTAAACATTTTGCTGACATTGTATGTTCCCGTGCTTTCGGCTTCATTACACCTTTCTACTCGGCGTGTTTGTCTTCGCCATTAATTATTCGGGTCTTGAATCAACTTGGAATCTGTTGAACGTTGGTGGCTGACACTCGATATCCGTGCATGGTTTGCAGCCATAGCATATTGCAGTTTCGAAGCGTAACATAGGCTAACTACATAGAAACTGGAATCGATTGCCCTGATGTTGGTTATGAACACGTATCTCAAAGATTGAGTTAATTTTAAGCCATTTCATAACATTTTTAAATATTTTAGGGTAATGAGAATTGTGTGAATGAAATCTTAACACCAGGTAATGAGCATAAACTATATATCTTGTATTGCTAACTTTTTACCTTGTTATGTATAAATTTATTTTTTGAATCTCTAGAGTACGAGAACGCACTTACTCATTATGGGCTTATTTAAATCGGTATCGTGAAAAATGGATCAATCCATTCTATGAACGTAATTCAGTATGGACAAATATGTGTATTAGTAGCAGTTGTGGTTCAGAAAAGCCTTCATATTTCGAAATAGATGATTTAATCACTTCTGGCATTGAACTTACTGATGATGGGAAAGGCAATAGTCGATATGCAGTGGATATACTACCAAGTCATGTGTTATGCGCGCCATTGTTTCGGTAGGTTTTTTCTATTCCGTTTCCTTTTATATCCAAATATGTAGTGGGACGCATAGAGTTTAAATTTCACCTATGCACCTTAGATGTTTGGCTTATTTACGTTAGCACTTTCGACTATTAGGTCCCGGATTCAGTCGTTTTTCCCTTAGTTCAGCTTTGGAGGCTAGATAGTGTCGCATAACTTAGTATATAAAAATATGCTACTCTTCGTTGTGGAACAATGAATATAACATCTGTTTAGGCTATTTTTTGGTAATTATAACTATTAATAACTACTAGAAACCTAGGTTTGTAATAGACAGATACACAGACAAATTAGTGTATAACTCTATCTAAAAGTGCGTCAGTTCAGGTCGTCACACTTCACAACAAGAGGTAGATAGAGAAAGAATCATTACGATTCAAGTAGACAAAGTGTGCGAGAGGATGACGCCAGCAGTCAGAAGTTCCATGCATTAAACTAACATACTAGACATCCATGGGCATTGTACAGCCATGACCCCAGATGGAAATCGACTGAAGAATTCCAAATCCTATAGTGAGTATGTTATGCTTAATCCATCCGCTTGGGATTCAACGATTGGTGTTTTCATCCTAAGATTATATGTGGTACAATGTTACTAATTTCCAGTCGTTAGCATATATCTGTTCTCGATCACATCAAAGGTAACATATATTAGTTCCCTTCCTAGTAATGAGAAGGCTTACATTAATCTTCTCACCTTCAGTCTTTTTGCTGATACTATCACCAAGTCATTCCCTGCGGCTTTTCTAATTGAAATTTCAAAAAAATTGTATCTAATCAACTTGACAACTGGATAAGTGTTTTTGTATTATGCGTATTATATATGAACTGATGACACAATAGAGTGGGTTTCCAATACAATCCACAAAGTGAAGACAGAGTACTTAATTGACTAAGCCTTACAGCTTCACAAAAAGACAGATCAACGAAACATTGTGAACGTTAAAGGTGGCTATCTAGAGTTACAGTACTTAAAGTGTTGAGTATTACCTGCATGAAAGCGTTTCATTAGGGCTTATTATTGCTGTTCACAACGGAAATATACTTTACAGAAAGCCTTAACTGAAGTTTGAACAGTCTGTCAGTCGCACTCAGTCAATCAATATGATTTCGTAACAGTAACCAAGTTGATGTCCTACTTCTCAATAGTGTTCAGTTCCTTTCGATTAGTGTCTGCATACTTCTTACACCATATATGATAAGATCATTTTTTTAAAACGTTTTGTTATGAATAATCGTATACGTATGCTCAACATAAAATCACTTTTCATCAATGACCGATGGTATACAACGCTGAAGGTGTAAATGTCCATATTCACTTATCCACTAAGATCTGATTTTGATTGGACAACGTTTTTTTTATCAAACTAAACCCTTTGCTAGTGCTGCTTGTGTTATCACAAAGTAACACTAATAATTATTGTTTTGTGTATAATTGGAACATGGGTTAATTGCAAGCTGAATTCTAAGCGCAGTTAACACTACTCTTGTGTTTTGTTGGTTTACTTCAGACTTTTCTATAGCACAATCGACTTACATTTTTTATATTTCTTGTTTATGTGCATCTCACAGTTTATGGCGTGATCTGTACTTACGGTGGGAATGGCGTCTGCCGAAACACGATATTCAAAGGGAGAATCATGTATCAGATTATTTATATGGTGTGATCACTTTACTCGATCACAATCGATTACTGGAGGCGAGAATTAGCCAATTACAACAATTATTGAATCATAATACTGTTGTGTATAAAGATGATTTTAAAAAATCAGTCGAAAAACCAACCCTTTCAAAGGTAAGTGTGCAAACAGTAATTTCAAAGTCATACTAAATAAAATTTAGCTAAGTAGAATGCTTGATTTCTTTCCCCTATATTTTTTGATGTTTCCACACTGAACCTGGCGATATGTCACTGTCATTAATTGAACAAAGTAGACATATTTCTTTAAGAAGTTAGTTCACACGAGGCGATCTCGTCTACTGATATGAACCTGTAGCTTATTAGTCTAGGCAGCTGATTTCAAACCGGATGGGCCATAGGTTCGAAAACCGCTCCACCTATCGAGGTTTGGACAGACAAGTACTATCATTAGCCCACTCACAATAGATGTGTATCTCTGTCTAATGCGCAAATATGTACAAGGTTGCTGAATGGATTTTGATATTTCGATTTGATCGTTCACAGAATAGGAGGAAAAATGCCCATTTAGTCATAACAAAAAGAAGAGGTAATCCAACGAAGAAAAATTCCCTTTTTTTGACTACTTCATTTTCTATAACTGCATATCACAAAAATGTAACAGTCTGTTTTTAAGAAACAGAGTATAGTTGTATCACTACAGTAGTGTTTAAGACTGCAACAAAGAGTATAAAGGAGTTACTGAATAATCTACGAGATGATGCAGTTAACGAGAAGTTGGCAAGGTGGAAATTGCTGGCAGATATCAAATGCGACGGTTGAGTGTTCACCTCATAGATATGAAGAATGTCATAGAATACTGAACAGCTGATAAAATTTGTTTAGCCCTCTCTATCTTCAGAAGATAGTTTTATTTATTAGCTAGATTTCGAATATCTCATCTCTTCTCTTTAGTATCATATCTGTAACTTGAAATCCTAATCAATCTAAGGTTATTTTCTTGTCAGAATAAACTGAGTTATGTCGGTCACATCTGGAGAAGTGCTGTCGCATACAGTCTGTCACATAAGAACTAAGACAGTTTTACAACAAAATTGTTGTTGTCTACTTTTTCAAGTCAGAGTGAATATTGAATCGTGTAAAAGTTTATACTGTAGTCATAGGGGTCTTTATGTAGATATTAACATAATGCAACTTTCTTTCATTCTGTAACCTTTGCATTCGAAATGCCTTCAGCAACCACGTTCACACTCGTGCAGTAGGTTATGAGCCACACCTATTGTATGTGGACTGAGGATACTGGCTGCCCAATCCTCGGTATGCAAAGTGGGGTTCGAACCCCGTGACTCACTGTTTGAACTAAGTTACTGGAGTCTATTTTGTAGCTTGATTCTAACCACTAACAGGTTGCTCAACTGCCACAACAAGTTAAGTACTATGTACCTTGTGTCGGTAGTGAATTCGGCCACATCTCTAGAGTTATCCTTGGTAGAATATAAAGTACTGTTTGCAGTTTTGACTTTAAACAGTCTCAATGTAATATATTGCATGCGAGCTAGTGTATATAAACTCAGCACTGCACGCTGTACATACTAGTATGCACTGGTTTGGTTCTGTGATATGTTTAGATGGATTTTACTGACTAAAATCTTACCAACACTGACACTACTTCTTATGTACATTAACTTAGTGTTTCTGGGAAATCACACACAACATACTTTATGCATAATCGAGTACTATTGACGCCATTCAGCTTCTTTATATAAAGCTTGAGGTCACACTTATTTTGTTTTGGTTAAATCATACTGTTTGCCTTCATCGACGTGCATAGTTAGAACGACTTCGGCCTCGACCTACTGGCTGAGAGTTGAATTTCTGAACTGGTGTACCACAGCTCCATTCAACTTTGTAAATCAGTCCTTTTTAAGGACAACATTTTTTGACGGGACAAAACAATCATTCTTTCTATATATATTAAAACTTATGAATTCCCATATACTTCGAATATTAGTAGATGCAGCAAAGGTTGATGTTAAACGTTTTGTCTCCTTTGTACAGGCTGGATGGTCATATGCTCACCATCAGATATTATCGTCTTGAGTTGGATCCCGTATAGGATCATGTTATTGCACTGCTCTTAAATTTACATAGTTATTAGTGACAGTTTATGAATGCTCATTTTTCTGAGTTATTATCAGAGTCCGATAATTGAAAGTGTGTTAATTCATATCATTTTATCGTCGGTAAGTTCTTATGGGTAACAGAGGATAAAGGATAATAGAGAAACACAAATGAATGAATCATATTATATGAAGTTTCGTAGGGGTGAGGTAAAAACTGAGTTCCAGTGGAAATTACCTCTTCCGAAATTTCTTCATACTGTTAACCGGTTATTTATTATCTTCTTTGGAGGTATGTGTTTTGCCTTCATAATCCTTTCCTAGTTGTATCTCCTGAACTGGTGCTATCATTTTTCGTAAACGATCATTTGTTCTTGAGTGGAAATTTCTAACAGCCTAGTTGTTGGAAATTGATCACTTTGAAAACGTGCCTACTTCATATACATTAGCCTTCAGCATTTTGGATGTAGATTATGTATTGCTAAATGAACTGAAATACAGTTTTCTGGGCACTTTAAGTAAGAATTTTATGATATTCAAGATGTGTTTCTCACCTAACAATTGCGAGTTGTTGCTTCGGGATTAGTCTGTGTTGATACCTTGTCTGACAATAGAAAATAAAGTGGTTGAATCGGTTGACTACTTTATTTAGAGGGTCAGATTAGTAGTTATGGGTTTAAAAAATTTCTGTATATATATGAAAGGTTCGGTTGGCTTTTTTCAACTTACGCTGTTTATTGTGTTACTGAGATATCCGGGTGTCTGTTAAGGAGCTAATGTACTACACAGCAGTTTTGTCTGTTTTGCAATGTAGCTGTTTAATATGGCCGTTAGAAGTGAAGGACTTAGTAACTTTACAGATATTTGACCACCGTCGCTTTCATAGCATAGACTGTGGACTCTTGTAATACTAAGTCAGTAAAATAGTGGTCACGCATAGAGTTTCAGCTAGAAGAGATTAGTCAGTAGTCAGTTGATGAGATTGTGAACTTTTATCGACTCAGATGGCTGGGACATGGGTTGTACATGCCCAGTCGCTGTCTACCCCGTCGCGCAATGTTAGCTGAATTGGCTTCAGTGTAGAAAAGATAGTAGGTGGCCAGACTAAAACATGGCATCAGCTCATGAAGTCTATGTCTATTTGTCTGAGCTGTATAAAAAGGTTTTGGCTTCGAGGTAGCTGGAACGAGGATGACTGGAGATTGTGAACAATATGACTTGGAAGCGTTCTCACTGACGAAAATGTATCCCATCTCATCTTCATCTTAGGTGTGAAATCACACTTTATTATTCACTCTAGTTCGCTTTTTCGTCTTATGACTTTCTATGTCTTGTTATTATTCCATTTCCATTCTCATTTCTTTCTTGTTACTTAGCATCTTGATGTAAAATGTGGGGATCTGGATCGTTATGCAGTAATGCTAAGTCTGTGACATTGAAAAGTGGTGATATGCGCTTTTTTGACTTCATATTTTCCCGTCTCAACAATATATCAGAGTCTCATTATGTGCTATCGAGATCTGTCGGACAATATGACTCATAACATGCATATAATTAGCTGAATTTTACCTTCCTCCTTGTTAAAGATTTTGGACAGACTCTTCATTATCACACAGCATGCTTGGTACTTTGAATAAGCATTTGCAAATGGTCATATGTTTTAGTAATACTCATACTTTTCAAAGTTGTACAGTGTAGATTGTGATAAAACAAATTCCTACTAAAAATTAAATGGATCACCTACATAACTCCAATAGAATGCAGATCGATATAAAATACTCTCCTGCTCTTAATGAAAAATTATGCATCATTTTCTTATTGAGTTTAATTTTTAAAGATTTTAATTTGTGTTCACCATTTCATCTGAAGGTGGTGGACGCTGAAATTGAACAAGCAAATCATGCTTCACCGGGAAAGTCCGATAGCCAAAATTTGAAGATGTCTTCATCGAATAATGATGATCCGCTTCTGCTTACAAAGTGGAATTCAATTTCTAGTAAGTGTATATTGTTCTTTGAATTGAGGTGGATGCGATATTGTACTTTGTAGAACTCATGCATACAGTAAACATTACTGAAAAACTGTATAATTGTATCGTCTTCAGTTGTGAGTTTCTAACTCGTTTGATTAGGTGCTTGACTTTCAGATGATTAACACTGGCGTAGTTAGCAGTATATTTAGGCCCTACATGAAGAGGATATCAAACGGTCTATTCAGCTGTGTTATATATATTTAATTGATACACACAAATGTTTGTATCTTTATGTGTCTGTGCATATTAATTTTTGAAGAAAAAATATAAAGGCTTACGATAAAGTGAACACTTATAACGGAGATTAAATGAGAAACGTAAATGGTGACGTGATTTGAAGCGTCAGACTCCAGCTTCCTTCTCCAACATTTTACCTAGGGAGCCAATAAAGTGAGTTGTGAACCAGGTTTCAGTTACAATGTGTTTCATCCGAGCGAGAAAAAGAAACGCATCATCGCAATAATTATCATGCCAGTTTGTGTATGTATTGAATTTTCAAGCCAGACCACTTCACATAACGGAAATAGTGAATAAATGTCTGTTATATTGTGCGATAAGATTTCCCAGATCCGCATAAGAAGCTATAAATCGATGAAGAATTTCACGACCATTCTTGTTGCTTCGATGTTTCGAGAAAATGGACGTGAACCTGTGTGTAAATATTGAATTAGCTGAAGAGGTAAAATCAGTAGGACATATTAATGTCAATAAGTAAGTGACAAGGGGACTCAGCATAACTGTCAACAATGTGAAACATACTATTGGAGAAAAATAATGACAAACCTACAAAATAAAAATATTATAATACATGAATTCTACCCGTAAATGTGTGAACAAATAATTCCAACAATTAGTGTGATCATGGGCTGTAATTTTGCACGAAATATTACCAAAGCTAAATAACATTATTGTGTGTAAACATTCATTAAAATATATATATATATATTTCTAATAAATTGATTCTTTCTGAAATGCACAAATTTTCCATGGATATAAGTGATAAGCATTGATAAGCTGTTTTGCTTTACATTGTTTTCACACTTTATTCCGATACGCTTATTGCTCAATAAGTTGTGTTCTTTCCTAGAAGATGGAAAAAAAAAACTTGAATGTTATTATGCGAAGAGATTTAGTAGTACTAAATGGAATATTGATTTCCGATAGATAAAAATAATTCGCAATTTTGTTTATGTAGTGTTTTCAGTGTTTCATTTGAATTTTTCTGGTCCAATAACAACATATATATATATATATATATATATATATATATATATATATATATATATATCGTCAATTCACTACTCTGCATAAACATGTGGTTGTGATATAATTTAATGAAGCGTGTTTTCTATTTATTGCAGAGCAACTATAACAGTCGTCTTTTATTGAATAGCCTAACTCTTATGTCATGTCACGGATGCCTAAACGACCGCTTGTTTTAACACATATCAATTGAAGTAGGAATAAGGTGGTGATCGGAAGCCCTAGGATAATCATTAAAAACTGTGTTCATTTCATCAACTCAATATATGTTAGTCTGAGTTGAAAAGGTAATTGTAGAATTTCTATTTAGTATATGTAAGTCAACCGAAAGTGATAGGTAAGAGACAAGAGCGGCAAAATTGCTTCTACTTTCATGTTATTTCAAGTTTTTAACATGTTAATTTTTACACTGTCTCAAATCTTTTCCTTCCACCACCTTTAATATTACCTTCCTTGCTTTGTTCCATTGTCTATTTACGCTCCTCTATCGTGTTGATATCAAATGCATCAACTTTGATTTTTTTATAGTTAATCCAGGTTTTATATTATAAATACTTCTTTATACTATTTAAATCAGGACCTAACAACCTCGTATAGAGTACAGCAACCGATAAAATACTAAAACCACCACTGACAATCATATTGATATCTCAATTTCAATCAATTAATAATGCATTTTCACGTTTTATCTGCTATGGTGTATTAATTATTATGATTATTTATCCCTAGGGTTCCTAGTGAAACATAGGGCTTCAGCAGCACGTCTCCATTCCACTCTCCTCTCTGCAGTCTTTTCAACCTGGCTCCACGACTACCTAGAAGCTTTCATTTCTTCCTCATATGATCTCCTCCATGTCACCCTCAACTCGAGAGACCAACTCGTCATTTCCCCTTTGCGTTCTACTCGAGGGTCTGACGTGGTGTGTGATGTCCCGAGTCAGTCTTCTCAGTGTATGCCCAATCCAATCTAATCCATCTCTACTTCCTTCTGTATATTTGTTGGGTAGTGGATTCTTCGTTGGTTCGTTGCCAACCAGCCAGCAAGCCAGCCAGACGGAGTTCCTTGTTGCTTATTCTTATTATTAAGGCCATCCATCTCATCCTCAGTATCGAGTGAGCGTAGACGTAGGCGGCAGCTGTTGATGATGTATGTCTGTAGTTTGATTCAATTGCTTTTCGTGACACGCCAACTTTCTCAACCATCCATCACGTGGAAGCACTGACTTGACTGAATTAGCGTTGAAAATCTGGATGTTGTTCAGGCTTTATGCTGAGTGGAGTGAAGTGCAGTGGAGTGGAGTGCAGTGCAGTAGATCTCCACACTGATTTCAAGTTAATGAAGGAAGGCCTATCTTGCTTGCTTTTCCCATCATGGCTACTTTGACATCCTCATTTGTTTCCGTGCCTGTGCCTGTGCTAGCTGTAGTCCAAAGAGACTACTTCGTTTAGTTTTCTCCCCTTCATGGTGATTGTTGTTGTTGCTGGTGGTGGTGGTGGTGGTGGTGGCGTTGGTTGGGTATCTTCATCACATGTGTCTTCTGGACGTTCACCTGAAGAAACTTCCGTCTTCCCTCACTGCCCTGCATCGACTCGCCTCACCTCGCCTCGCCTCACCTCTTCTGTCAACTCCTTGGTTTTTGACTGTAGATGTTTGAGTTTATGTGACAAGACATTAGACATAAATGATAATCGGCGGTGACATCCAAATCTTCTTGTTGTGTGTTTTCATCAGTCAAACGGCGTATGCCCCTCTTCTCACTGCTCACAACTGTCTGTTGCATGATCCAGTCCAGTCCAGTCCTGTTGATGATTGTGCGTCAGTTCTTGCAAAGACTTAGGTTGGCCTTCTTTGGAAGTTTGATGAGGTAGCCCTTTTTCCAATCAATAGGCACGTACTTTTCCTTCCTTCCTTCCTTCCTCCCTTGCAAACCTTCTGCAGTAGTGGTGTGAGCATGTCAGCTGTTGACTCTGTGTGTTGAGAAGTTGCAACTGGTTGTGGTGCTTTCCTGGCTTTCATCAAGTTTATGGCGTGGCGTTCATGACTTGACTTCTGTGATTGTCGGAGTGTCTGTGTTCACTGGTAGTTGTGTGACTGGGTTGCTGGTGGTATTTCTCGACGCGTTGCAGGTGGTGGTGGTGGTGGTGTTGGTGGTCGATTGGAGAGTTTTTTGAAGGAAGTGGCCAGCCCATCGTTACCTTTGTTTCTCCTGTTTGGTGGTAACTAGGTTTCCATCACTATCTTTCATTAGTTACATCTGTGTTTATCTCTGTCCTCCGAGACAGTTACCTGGTTATTTGATATAATGTTGTCAGGTGTCTGTCTGTCTGTCTGTCTGTCTATCCTGGAGCCTACAGCTTTCAGCCTGTTGTGCTCCTTCACTTGTAACTGTGTGTCATCGAAGTGAGTGTCTTTTGTGTTTGTGCTCACTGTTGTTCACTTGTTTGTGGAGTGTAGTGTTGTATAGGTTGTATTCAGTTGCTGTTTTGGTTGTTGATGCCTGCTGTGCACTGCACTGGACTGGACTGGACTGAACTTGACTGGACTGGTTCATCTTCATCTTCTGCTTCTCCTCCAACATCACCATCACCATCAGCATCTTGCTCTCTCTGCTGTATCAGGTTTCATGTGTCCATTGAGATGCATTCCTTGTCGTGTTTGTTGTTGCTTCCTAGCACGTTTATGCAGGCATGTTTCCTTGCAGATCTGTTTCAGAGAGTTGCAGTGTTGTTCGATGCAGGTTTCCTGGTGTATGTTGCTTAGTGTCTGGCATTTTTCCTGATGGTTGGTTGGCTTGCTGGCTGGCTGGTTGGCTGACTGACTGACTGACTACGTGAAGATGTTGTTTGTAGCTTTGTCCTCGAGTTTGTGTTATGGGTGTTGAGGTTGAAGTTGAAGTTGAAGTTGAAGTGTGTGCGTGTATCAGCAGGTTGTTAGAAGGCTTTTAAGTTAATTTTGAAGGTAGGTTCGTTGTAGTAGATAGTGAGTGGTGTGAGTGGTGTTAACCAGGTATATGTGCTCCCCTTCTTGATCTGATCTGATCTGATCTAATCTGATGTGATCTGATGTGATGTGATGTGATGTGATCTTGTGTGCAGTCCAGTCTAGTAGTCTGCGTCTCCATCTGCACTTTCTTCAGATTGAGATGAATTCGATCTGATGTTTATTGTATTGTTTTCTGGTGTCTTGTGAAATCGAATGCATGTCTCTGCCTTGTGAATATTGTAGTGTAGTGTAGTGTAGTGTAGCGTAGTGCAGCATTGTATGATTGTGACTTTGCTTTGTTTTGAGTTGAATGGATGTTGCTGTGATGATCGTGATGTTGTATGAGTAGATTGGTTGCCAGTGCATGGTAGAGAAGAGGGTTGGATGGTGTTCAAGGGGACATCATGATAGCCATCGACTCGACAAGTGAGTGAGTGAGTGAGTGAGTGTGTTTGTGGTTGTTGTTTGTGTGACAATATGGGAGTAGATTATTGACTGTTGAGTTGAGAGTTTGGAGAGTTGACTTGGATTGCATGTGGTTTTGCAGATTCGTAATACTTCTATGTTATACGTTTTCATCTGTTTTGTGATTTGGGCATCGTTGCCTGCCTGCCTGTCGGCCAGCCAACCAGCCAGGGAGTCAGCCAACTTGAAACCTTGTGAAGAGATTGTATGTCCCCACGCTTGGTTTTGCTTTCATAGAGACGCAGTAGCGTACGAAGAGCAAGTGGGTAGGAAAGAGTTTTATGGAGATAGACGAGGCTGCATAGGAGGAGACGAACTCTAGAAATCAAGGTTAGTCAAAGTATTTAAGCTTTATGCGACATCAAATAGTGAAGGATGCATCCACTCCGTTGTGACGGGTTTTCAGCTGTTTCACTAAATGTCCTCAATCACAGACTCCTGTTGTCTCGGAGACTCCAACCACGCAGTCTAAACCTCCGTGCGTGATTGAGATCTACAGTTGCTGGCTTCATGGACTAATATCAGCTCCTGGTCTGGCCACCCCGATGGATTCCCTTTCAACCTATTCCAAATTCCCCCTAGCATTGCACATGGAGGTCAGGCAGTCAGTGGTCGGCATGGACAGTACATACGTAAGCCACCTCAATTGATGAATGTTCACCACTCCATGAAATGACTTTTCTAGTTCCCTTCGTCTGACCTCGACACAGCTCACACGGTGATCTCATCAAACCCGAGCAATGGTGCGAACACACATGTGATCAAAACCCTGTAATCGCTTCATATCTCCTACTTTTAAGGGCCATGCCTCACAGCCTTTTAACAGAACACGACGGACTGCAGTACAGTATACTCGTCCTTTGATAGATAGTCGGATATCTCTCCATTTGGCGCCACAGACGTCTCAAGTTAGCAAATGCCAAACGAGTCTTCTGTATCCGAGCTGAGATTTAGTCAGCAACCAACCAGTCCGTTGGGGCTGATGCGACTCCCCATGTAATTGAAGTGGTCAACACATTCCAGCACGTCACTCATCATCATTATGCTGGGAGTGGTTGCAGACCATTTCTGGAGGATCATCTGAAATGAAATATCTGTTGCAAATATGGAGCGAAAACTAGCCACCTCAGTCTGTGAGATATTTTTTTACTAGAGACTTTTGTTGAGTATAATAAAGTTAATCATGAAAGTTTGTTCCCAGTATTCCATCTCGACATGATATAGATAAATTTAAGAAACAAGTATAACTATAATATTCTTATAACACTGTGATATCCTAGGTTCTAACTTCAAATATCTATCACTGTTCCTCAACGCGTCTACGTTTTTACGCACTCAGTATTGACTACTTACTATAAAGAAGTAGAATAGTCTTTATAGTTAATTTTTACTTGATTACCTACTGTAACCCCTGCTAAAGGGAAAAGGCTGTTCGGCGAAAGCTTAATACTCTTTACAAATAGGAATCACTACATAACAAATAGGTTTCCCTCTATGAGAATAAGTCGATTGAAAGAAGTCCTGGGAATGGTAGCTAGGAGTTTCGAGAAATTTCGAAACCACACTGTCGACAGTGAGTATAATTCTGGGAGAGTGTTGTGCTTCGTATATTGGATATTTTCTTCATTAGAAATCTCTTCATAGACGAACTGAAATAGATGGACTACTTTCGTGACATGTATATACGACAGATTTGACTCCATTAGATTTCCTTTCATAGGGATATATAAAAGCTACTTTTTTTCAAGCAAAGCTGGAGTTTTTGAAGCCTTTCCAGGTAGCTTATATGACTGTTAGTATCATTACAAATCAGTTTGAAAATGTTTTTTGGCAACCAGAGGATTGCACAAGCCTTGGCACAATTAATGCTGGTGAACATATTGATACTGGGTAATGATTGGAAGTGAAATAGAAACCTAGGCTATGGTGCGACTCGAACCAGAGACTTCTGGCCAATATAAGTCTGCCGAACCACGACAGATAGTCAAACTGATAGTTCATCGTATGAGGTCTATTTTACTTGTTATCCTGGTGTAGTATATTAGAACAAATCAAAAAATATTTCGTAGTACTCCTCAAGGTTTCGATCTTGCTAGGAAAATCCTTTTGAGGAGTATGAATTTGACACTTGAAGTTTGTGTCACAATAAATGTAGTTGTATATAAAATAGAATGATCTTATAAAAAGGATTAGAAAGACTGATTACATTTGGTATTCTTCTTGTTAATTGTAAACATTATCAGTTTGAACATATCTTGATCAACAATGGACTGGATGTAATTCTATATTAGATTTGTTTATTTGATATATAGCGCACAGTGATACAGTATTATTACTTGATTACGTTTCGGGCATAAATTATTGCTCATAATCATATCAATGTAATCACACTCCACTTTCGACATCTGATTTTATAGTTCTGTCACCTGATCTCTCTTTGTTTTTTGATTGGTAGTAAAGTTTTCCATATCTCTGGTATAGGTGTTGCGTCATTCCTATTACATGTGTTGGGTGTGGATTCGATGAACAAAGATTCAGTAATTAATCTCTCTCTCCACCTAGCTATATTAGACTTAAGTACAGTGGTTTTGTCCCACCCTATTGTGTGGTTGTGTGTTAATGAATGTAATGCAATGGTCGAGTGTTTTTCTAGATTATTGATCTTATTGGGATCTGTCGTTCTATGTTTAGCTAAATTCCTATGTTCTGTTAATCTAACTGACCCCGACCGGCTAGTTTGACCTATGTACTTGACCTTACAGTCATTACATGGAATTTGGTAGATTATATTATTCTGCCTAATTGGTTCTATCGGATCTTTTAGCCGACAAGTGAGTTTGTTGGTTTAAATGCCACCCTAATTCCAACCTTGTTGAGAATCCTACGTATGGTTTCTGATGTTCCTTCCTTGTATGGTAACACAATAGAGGTGTTGATTTCCTTTCTACTTATGTTGTCGCTATTATTTGTATTTGTATTAGTGGTATTATTTTGCTTCTTATGTGTTTGTGTGAATTTCTTGATAAAATGATGGGGATAATTATTAACGCTTCTTTATGTGTTTCGATTCCTTATTTAAGTCCTTAGATTAGCAGAACATAGGAATTTAGCTAAACATAGAACGACAGATCCCAATAAGATCAATAATCTAGAAAAACACTCGACCATTGCATTACATTCATTAACACACAACCACACAATAGGGTGGGACAAAACCACTGTACTTAAGTCTAATATAGCTAGGTGGAGAGAGAGATTAATTACTGAATCTTTGTTCATCGAATCCACACCCAACACATGTAATAGGAATGACGCAACACCTATACCAGAGATATGGAAAACTTTACTACCAATCAAAAAACAAAGAGAGATCAGGTGACAGAACTATAAAATCAGATGTCGAAAGTGGAGTGTGATTACATTGATATGATTGTGAGCAATAATTTATGCTCGAAACGTAATCAAGTAAATAATACTGTATCACTGTGCGCTATATATCAAATAAACAAATCTAATATAGAATTACATCCAGTCCATTGTTGATCAGGATATGTTCAAACTGATAATGTTTACAATTAACAAGAAGAATACCAAATGTAATCAGTCTTTCTAATCCTTTTTATAAGATCATTCTATTTTATATACAACTACATTTATTGTGACACAAACTTCATAAACATTCTGAATATATACTAAAATGGGATAGCCATACAGATAATTTTTTTTGACAAATAAGGTTGTATCTCATATTAACGTTACCGGGACATAAGACAGTAATTGTATGTTGAATTTTTGCTATAAATTGTAGTTGTTATGCTGCATCACACATTTAGACTCAGATTGATTGAAATCTATACTTTCCTACTGATGATCAGTCACATCCTTTTATCGTCCAGATGGTTGGAATCCTTTCGAGGTTGCAGGTACACCTATCTCTGTTGACTGTGAACAAGCATAAAGTGTAGCTCCAAAAGGACTTTGTTGTCGATTGCATCCAGCTGCTTAGCATACTAATTAGTCTTCTCAATGACTGGTAATTGTTGGTTTGTTTTATTTCAGATGATCAAAGACAATTACCTGTGCCTACAGTAGAACAAATCAAATGTGAAATGAATATGATCAGTGTAAAATGGTCCTCATGTATAAAATCAGGAAGTTTATGCTGTGTTTGTAATAGCCTGTTAGCCTTATTTAATCATTCAGTAAGTTGGTTGATATTGTGTATCATGTGCTATTGCTATTGTTATTCGCTTGTTTATGAATAAATATTTTGATACATGTCAAGCGTCAGCTAGTTCCTTTTTGTTGGTTAAGGTTGTGATGGTAGTAGTTCTTACAGTAGCACAAGATTGAGACACTATGTTTGCCGATTTTGGATTCAGTTAGAGTTGCATGACCCTCAGATGTAGAGTAAATTTGTTCAGATATATATGACTCACTCTATACACTAGCTGTGACACTGTGATTTCAATGCTTAGCACTCTGATGATAACTTCTGTTCTGGCTAATGATTCTCAGTGTATACACTGTTTAATTCAGCCTACCAGTCATTTTCCAGACACTGAAATAATTAATGAAGCAAATCATATCAAGGTTGGAGATATATGTCAAATGACTGTGTTTCTATTGATTCTACATAAACTGTTAATGAATTTTGATAAAGTTTGTTTTGTCGGTTATTTGGAAGTGATAATTAGTTCACTTCCACAGAGCGTTACCTGTGAATGTAATCTATGCGTCAACAACGTCCCTAACAATGATAAGCGAGACATTTTTATCTTTCGCTGTTGAATGTGTTGGAATTAAAAATGAAGCGAACCAGATCTTTTTCGAAGGACTGTAGGTAACTCTCCAATAAGCATGATCTTAGTAATATACACTTATTAACTGGAACACCAGTAATGGCAGGCAAAGTACTAAAGTCAATAAGGTGTTCAGTGCAATGGTTGTATCACTGCAGGGATATTTCACGGATTCTATTCCGAACCAGAAGTCTAATTTGAAGGAGTTGATGTTATCATGGAAAGGAAAGTATGACAGAAGGAGGAACTAAAATTACGAGTCGATCAAGAAAGGTCCTGGAAATAAGTCCTACCAGGTACTGAAAAGTGGGTTTTGCCAAAATCTGCATTTACAGATGTGCGAAAATCCTGGAAACCGTTATCGATAATGAGGTTCATACGTTAAGTAGTCTATGAACAACGTGAAAGGTATATGGTGTTGTTTAAAGAGACTTCTAAAACCCTGGTTCGGGAGAAAAAGTGGTCTGTAATATTTATGTTTGGACATCATCACTGGTTCTGCATGAAGGGATAATACACTTGGAAATATTCACATCCTGTGTAAACTAAGTTCATAATATTTAGATAAGTCTATTCTCATTTATTCTCAGTGTCGAAATAAGCATTCGGGTGGCTAGTTGTCACAGGTGTACTTTCATATACCCACCTCTTTGCCTACCTATTGAAATGGTCCGGGCTGGGAAGGAGAAGGCTGGTCAGTTTGGAAAGTGATGCACGAAAACTGTTCCTCTTTTTAATCTTCTATCAAGAACAGATATTCAGTAAGACCAAAAAGTTGTTAAAATCATTGTTTTAAGCATTGAGCATTGTAACCAGTTGATCACTGTTTCGAAATAATACGTAATAAGCATGATTCTTCGCGTAAAGTGCGATTTCTTATGTGGCCGAATTATTCGGTTCAGTCAACGACGGGATAATACAAACAACATCATATGAACTATACGCGTTGCACAAGAAGTGGTTGTCGTGACTCACTAGCCTAGTGGATAACGCTCTGGCGTTTGAAGCAGTCTGGTTCGAATCTTAGTGGGGATAACATCGCTCGCCGAGAGGCAGATGCATTCAGCTGATCAGTCCGGAATATGAGGGAAGGAATGTCCTGGATCCCACTGCGAGTGACTACTCATCAATAATATCAGGTTTTTATGTGATTGCTTGGTTGTCGTATTATCCACTGTATATCAGTCGGTGACGTGAAATATCTTCAAGCTAACCGCTTCCTTGTCATTATTTGTGATGATTTTTTTGTGCTGTTTGCAGGCGTGTACTGTTTATTCATACAGATAATATTCCCTTCATACTGTTGCGTATTTCACCTATTACAGGTTCATTGTCATTCATGTGGCCTTCTCACCTGTTCACGGTGTATATATCCGAATCCACCTGTGATTCCAGCTTTATGGTCCACTGAACAAAAATTTGCACAGTTTTGTAACCCATGTACTTCAAAACTGCGTAGTTGCAGTTTTCATTTTAAACACTTTACTCAGCTGAAGACACCCAACACTCCAACAAAACCTGACAGCATTTCATTTTCAACAAATCATCCAGTGAATTCATCTCTGTAACCCTCTGTGCTAATTAACATTGTTTTTCTATTCGTAATCCATTGCATGGTTAGTACGATACATAATGTAACGCGTCTGAATCTTAATGGAATGTCTTCACTTTTCCAGATATCATGTTTATTGATTGTGATAGAATGTCTGAAGAAATGGCGAAAATTATCTGTGATCACTTTTTTCCAATAATTGTTGCACGCGATCCCTCTAGTAATTTACATGTGCATCTGTATATGCCCATATCTAGAGTCTGAAAGTTTGTCTCCCCGTAGTCTTTATACCTTACTTTAGTTGTGTGTATATGTGGTACCTAGTTATGTACTGTCGGTAGGAATTGTGTACGTGATATATTATGTGTTTTATTATAATTGGTCTATCTCCCTGTATATGTATGTTGTGCACGCCAATTTCTTTTTTATCTTCACTGTATTAGTTTATTTCATTTCAGATTTTGTACTCTCTTTCTCATACGCCCAACTGTATGTCTTTGTATCTTTCTCACTATAACGATTAATGAAATCAATCATCTTTGAGTAAATCGGCTTGGTTTTTTCCTTCATGTTAAAATTTCTAGGGCTTCAGTTTTCTTCATTTTGATATATTTATTCATTTTTTTCGTTGATCTTTTGGTATTTCGTAAAAATGATTATGATATTAATAGTAATCGTTAGTAGTTTCCCCGAGTCAATACGATTCTCATAGTCTTTTTGCCTTCATTCTGCTTACTTCAGGTAATGTTTTGTATTTCCGTGAATAGTTCTCATAATCTTTCAGTAGTAATCTCTGTTCGCCTCACAAATAATCTCACTTTTATTTACTAACAAATGTTGGGTTTAGGACAAAATCAACACTACCTACCTACAGGATTTCCCAAAATATTTCTGACAACAAATTCACAGTAAAGAAAGAAACGAAAAGTGCCCTTTATTCTCAGTTGTCCCGACTAGTAGAAGCAATCCAGAAAAATTGGATAATGTCAATTCTCAAGGTAGTATTCATCACGGACTGACATGAGTTGGAGAAACCCTGAAAACCTGAGACCACTGAACGGCTGTTTCTTTCTAGTATTGTACTCGTCAGCAATGTGCACCCATAACCACACCAGGAATGGAACCCAGTATCGTTAGGTCTGGTGGCAAGCACGTTGCTATTCGGCCTCTGGGTCGGAACCCAGTGGTCTCCATTTTCCCATTTGGAACCCACTATTTACAGGATAAACACTTCTCACATGAATTAACTATTGAAGCATCTTCAGTAACAAACGGATGAATCTTCCAGTTCTGTACGAAAAACGTCTTTGAAAATACGATTAGACTGTTTATTCATGTTGGTGATTAGCAGCGGAATCCAGGACGTGCTCTTCGTCCTATTAGGGACTCGTCAGCTGGATGTGCCTGCAAGTACCAAACAACAACTGATACCCGTTGCACAAGAGGCGACTTTCGTGCCTTAGTGGAGAACGCATTGGCGTACTGGAGTACTGGGCTCGAGTCTCAGTGGAAACAGGATCACTCATTGGGATGCAGGCACATAGCTGACGAGTCACAAACAGGACGAGACGCGCGTTCTGTCCAAGTCAGTTATAACAATGAATATTCATGCATTATCTAGGCGTCCGCATAGGAGTCCATCTGCCAACAGAGATTGGGCAATTCAACCTTGTATAGCAATGGGGACTTACAAGTATCAAACTACCACTAGGCGACTTTGTGAATCTCCGTAGTTCGCAAACATACAAATATCTCTCTGCATTATGCATATTGGGAGATTCAGTGACAAAAGAAGGAAAGATCGACTATAATACACTAAATAACCTACAATGGGCAACACTACATATTGGAAATTGATTATATGATTGTGAACAACTTTGAACGTGAAGTTGACTGGAAACAGTAATCTTGTAGAAGAGAAACTTGGAGTGCCGAGGGATCAATACAATCAGTAAGTGATAAGTTCTTTGCTTCAAGAACGTAGATGTAAACTTATTCTATCGGCCTAATAAGAAACAACTGCAAGTTAAGCAGTGATTGTGTGACTACTAATAAATGCCTAATCATATCCCCAGTCATGAAGGCAAGTCATTAAGTCGATGAAATTTAGTCTTTACAAAGTATATATCGATCTTGTTTAGAAGTTTACAATTAAACCATTTACCCACACTATTACTTAGTCTATTTTTCTATATCTCCCGGTCTTCCTCGCAACATTGTACAATGGAACCCAAACCCTGATACTCAGTGTACTTGTATATTCACAGCGTAGGTCATACACATGTATAACTGAAGTATGTATCCACAACGCACCATAATCCTAAAAGTGAAATATCTGATTTCATACATACGAAATAAGATAATGTACAATGATTCATTTCGCTTAACATACAGATTTGGGGAGGGGATTATGCTTCGTACAGAAATCAGTGAGCAGTTAATAAAAAGCTCTCAAGCAGAGCTATACAATAAAACCATAAATTATCTTAATATAGGAGTAAAACTTGGACGCTGTGGTAAATTGTAATTCCATTTTAGTTTGTTCATTAGCAGGATGTTTTTTGAAGTAATACGATGCTTATCTGAGATCCATATTTTCTCTTTTTCACAGGGTATAATAATTTTAACGCTGTATTCCTGCATACTGTACAACTTCTTTGATTAAGTAGTAGAATAATTGACTGCATATCGCTTCGAATTTTTTCCTGCTTTAAATGAATGATAACAAAAACACAAAGTTTTTTGGTTCGAATGTGTGAATCATAAACACAGATCTTATCATCGTATTAGGTAAAGAAGCTGACTGAATAGGGGTTTTGTAGTGTTTTCATGTTAGTAGCTTACAAACTCTTTGATTTGATAGCGTCGTTGCGTATCCAGTAATCGATGATGTCGGTGAGATGTGTACCTGACTATCAAACAATGAGGATATCTCACAAGAATCTTCTTTCTTACTTTAGGCCTCTTAGAAACAACTTAGGGAAGCTACAGGCTTTGTGTCATACCTGCCATGAAAGCATTATCACTGTACGTAAGAACTGAGTAGTACGTTAATTTAATACTTCTAAGCGAGCAATTCAAGTTAGACCTTGTGAACTTAAACTGAGTTTACTTGCAAATTATAAATTCCCCTGCCCAGCAGTCTGACTTATTCCATTTTATAACTTAATATTTTATTTATTTATTTTATCATTTTTAGTGCTAATTTGACAGATGATTCATTTTTGAACTATTCCACGTTCTTCATCAAGTGCTGTCAACATGTATACTGCCTCTTTTTTCCCTAGAAAAATTTGATCATATGGGTCAAAGTAAGTGTTCTGAAATGCAGAGGAATAAGTCTATGAATATCGAAAATGCTGAATAAGAACCAATAGTATGCAAGGATTTGAGTGATTTAGGTTACAGCAGCGTTAATGAAGGCATGCTTTTACAGGTAGGCTGCTTTACATTTGTCAGATTCCGTTTATAAGGGCTCCTCGAATTTACTATTGCTGATAGTGTTTACATATGACATCCTAACCAGTTCGGATGTCTATTGACTAGTCTTTACTATCCATAAATCTACTTATCATTTAGGATTTTACTCGTGATATCAGTCAGTATTTAATATACCTTGCTTGTGTTGGCAATGAAAAAGTCCAGACAGTATTCACAAAACGTATTTATCAGAACTCAAAATTAAAAATAAATAGAACCATCGAAATACGAAATTATTCTCGAAACCAATGATGATATATAACTTACCCATATTTTTTTAAGTATGTTAATAGTCAGTAAACCAACGATGTAACATCAGTCTACTCTACTGTCGCCCCTCAGAACAAAATCCGTTAGTTTCATATCTCAACAACACTCTCCAATAATAGACACTTCATTCAAGGAATGCTTCAGTCACACAAATGTGTTTTAGGAATAGGTCATGGATGCAGACACCACCGTATATATCATGTTGGACGAATGCATTAGGTAGTCAGATCAAATCATATCATCAATATATGAAACCGGTGACTGTCAACCTGAGCTGTGTGAAAAATTGTAGGTTGTCTGGTTGAATCCTTGTAGATATTTTTAATCTATAGTAAATGACTTTAAATTATTATTATTTGTCCTTGAGTTCCCAGTGGAACATAGGGCTTCAGTAGCACGTCTCCCTTACACTCTCTTCTCTGCAATCTTCTGAACCTGTATCCACGACAGCCCATAAGCTCTCATTTCTTCCGCGCACAATCTACTCCATGTCACCCTCAACTTGGACGACCAACTCGTCATTTCCCCTTTGCGTTCCACTCGATGGCCTGTCGCGCGACGTCCCCGAATAGTATTCTAAGTGCATACCCAATCAATCCCCACTTTCTTCTGCATATTTGTTGCGTGATAGGTTCTTGATTGGTGCGTTGCCAACCAACCAGCCGGCCAGCCGGAGTTCCTTGTTGTTTATTCTCATTATTCTGGCCATCCACCTCATCTTCAATATCGAGTGAGCGTAGACGTAGGCGTAGGTGGAAGCTGTTGATCATGTATGTCTGTAGTTTGTTTGAAATGCTTTTCGTGACGCGCCAACTTTCTCGACCACCCATCACATGGAAGCACTGACTTGACTGAATTAGTGTTGAAAATCTGGATGTTGTTTAGGATTTATGCTGAGTGGAGTGGAGTGGAGTGCAGTAGATCTCCACAATGATTTCAAGTTAATGAAGGAAGGCCTATCTTGCTTGCTTTCCGATCATGGCTGACTTCGACGTCCTCGTCTGTGCTGGCTGTAGTTGAAAGGATGCTGCCTGGGTAGGTAGGTAGGTGAAAGTGACTACTTCGTTTAGGTTTCTCCCGTTCATGGTGATTGTTGTTGTTGCTGGTGGTGGTGGCGTTGGTGGGGTATCTTCATCACATGTATATTCTGTACGTTCACCTGATGGAAGTTCCGTCTTCCTTCACTGCCCTGCATCGACTCGCCTCACCTCGCCTCTTCTGTCAACTCCTTGGTTTTTGACTGTAGATGTTTGAGTTTGTGTGACA